TAGAGGTTGTTAATTGATAGAACTAGTTGTTCCACCTCAGCCATCTAGATTCTGTAGATAGGTGTACGCCCCAAAGGTGAAGCTATGTATCAACCATATTGTACATGTATGTCTAGATTGGGTTTTTTTCTTTAATCTTAGCGGTGAAGATGATCTTTTGTAATTTGAAGTTTATAATGCATGCACGTAACCATTATGATATAGGAAAGGACTATAACGAGTGTTTATATAATTTATACCATGTACCAGTACCAGACTAAAAAGTATGATCATAAAAATCAGAAAAAGTCGAGAACGACCCCGAAAACAGATTTTTGCATTTGGGAATGGCATTTTCTTCAAATCAAATTATCTGTTCGTGTTAAATGACGTCATTTTGTTGATGCTGGCATCCCTGAGCATGTAAAGGCGTTGCGTATAAAACGAATTGGTACCTGGTTAGGTAACTATACATGTATTAAAGAAAGCTGAGAGAAACAATGTTCAAAACTGATGATTTGTTTTATATTTTGATTTCCCCTACAAGTTAGACTGTACTGTACATGACCCCGTACACAAACTGATGCTACTGTTTACAGTGTTAGAGGATATTACATATGCTGTCACAGGATGGTTGGAATATTGTCGACTTTATACTGTGTACGATAGTAGTGTATTTCAGTGTAAATGACAAACAGTATATCAACATGATTAAACGTTTATCAAAACCTATAATTGATAATTAAACCCCTCTGAGGTGGCCTTTCGATCATTTTAAGGGTTCGGGTGGACAAATTAATCTATCAACAAACCCTGTCAACACATTGTTACAATATGATCTAAATTTTTTATCAATAAACGACTGCAGCAACAATGTACGTGTACTCAGCCGAGTCAAGTCAAAATGCCCTCAGTGTTTATTTCAGTGATTTTTTTTTATCGTGAATATCTCAAAACGATAATTTTCAGCTATGGACAACAAAGGATGAAGTCATGAATTAATATAAAGTATGACGACATTTCAGTCACGTGGTACTTGCATGTACCCTTGATTGGCACCATTATTAGTACCCATGATTATATTTATAAAGATGACGTCAAAATCAACACCTACAGTTTTGTGTATCAGTACGTGCTTTGACCCGGCAGTACATATGTGTATACAAGTATGGTGTTCGGTCGTTTGCATTGAGATCATAAGTTCAAGTGTCATCTTGTCCCAAACATCAGAAAATGACATCCTTCTGATGATAGCACGTGCATTTTAATTGGCTGTAAATATGCTCAATGATAGGCAAAACAAAATACCCTGTATCAAGAGTACATAGTGCAAAACACAAATCAGTGCTAAATATAAGTGTCACCGATGCAAATGTATATCACATACCTGACAAATCTTACCTTAATAATAAGCCGTTATCAAGGTCCGGTAATTTACAGTTTTTAACTACTCTTGTAGCGAGAACTCTAGACTCGAAAAACATCCCTATTTGATAACTGGTGAATCAAAATTTGAAACAGGAAGTGGTTTCGTGCATTTAACCGTCATTTCACGCTATGGCAGTATGACGTAATTCGACCATCGGGTGAAGTTTCCGAGAAGAAAATTGCACAATTTCAATTAATTCGTGTTATCTGATGCGTCAGATGTACACGCATGTTTGGTAAAGTCTATGAATGTAAACTAACAGTTCAATGGCTGGCATTTCATCTGGTTAATTATAGCTCAGATCAATCGCTTCGGATGTATAAAAGTCTCGATAGTGATTTGTAACTGCTATGTATATATTTGTAGTAAAATGATTTTCACTGGCTAATTCAAATTACATCTAAATCAAAACAGTAAATCAAGATGTTAAACTTATCGATTTTAGAAAGACGATATAATGATTTCGTGATGGAGATAAATTGTTTAAAGAGCTCTTTAAATCAACATTGATACTGACAGTATAATATATGTAAACGTAGGGCTGGTTACTGCCTAATTTGTCTCTTTCACAAGTGGAATAGTTTATGATGTTATTGATGTTTGTACTTATGAGTGTGGGAGTGTTTTATATAGGGACACATTGTTATCTGTATACGGCAAATATACAACGCATGTGAACCTACATGTACGTTTAAAGTTACATGTAAGTCTACAATCAGAATGCACATTTAAGATAACTTTAAGGTAAACCTATCTGGCCAATCTACATTAAAGTGCTGTGCCTAGTCAACTTTTAAATTTCTATATGAAGTTGAGCTTATAGATGATCTTATCAGGACTGGTAACAAAAACTTAACCAAGTCCTTTCGTGTATATTGACGATGTGCCGTGTTTAAATAACAAGAACTTATTAACGATTTCTCGATCGTATAAACCTCCTGAGCCGCTTAATACCAATGAAACTACATACTCTTCTACTCGATCGTTACATACAATATGAATGATCAACAGGGGATGTACGATAAGCGGGACGATTTCAACAATCCGGTCGTAAACATTCCAATTCTCGAAAGTAAAAACCCTACTTCACCTACCTATGGTGTTTTCACTACATTGTTGATTCGGGAATTGGTACTCAACAGCTTGCTCCGAATATCATAATTTCCTTAATAGATTTGAACTGCTTACTGACAAACTTACAACACATGATTTAAAAAGGTGCACGTTCAGGAAGATTACGGACAAGTGGTATGGTTGCCATCAAAGGGAAACATGCTACTATTTCTGTTTGTGATATGGAGGTCGATATTTTGTATATGCACAACAGTGTGCTTTGTGGTTTTGTTGTCACTGCCTGAGTTTCCAATGACGATCCTTGGCTTTGACCTAGATTCACATGACATGCGTCGTCGATGAAGCAGAGAACGATAATCTTACGGTACATCTAGTCTTGTTCTTCTTGGACTTTTTCAAGGGTCCCAATGTAAATCTTTCCTTTGTTCATATTTTGCCCTAGTTTCACCAATTTTGACCTCGATTGCGGCTAAGTAGAGACTATGGTATTCTCTGGGGTTTTTTAAGTAATTGATACTACTGTAATGACTATTGTGATCTTACAGTTAAAATGTATGTTATGCTACGTACGGAATTAACTCTGGTATAATGACAATGGTATGCTAATCATGTATGATAAAAAGACGCCACAGAAAGACAATTCAGATTTAGATACAAAATATTAACACAGAGAGTACTGAAAGACTTCACCTTAAGATTATATATAAGATTATTAATGCACAGTCACATGATATCCCTCAAACGCTAATGTAATATGCCTCAGAAAAACTACCAGCACTAGCCACAACAGAAGCAAATCGTCCGGTTAATGACAGCTATCAGAAGACGTGGTCACAGGTAACATTTATGTAGCATTAATGCCTTGTCATAGTCACACCAGGCAAAGTATTGCGAGTGATCCACAGACCCCTTCATTTGGGCAACCTGCAGCATCAAAATTAACAAATGACCATACATTCTTATTGTGTTAATGTATAAAGCAGAATACGAGACCTTATTGTGCTACACAGCGTCATACAAAGAGGTACTCTCTTATAAAAAATGACAAGTGTATGTAACAGGTTAAAAGGGGAGATATGAACGCAAGGACCGACGTCCATGTTCTCTAAAATTGGAGTCATGTGACACATTACGAGTCATTTCCTTTTTATTTCAAAGTTATAGATAAGTCCTCATAAAAAGGGCATCTTTTTCGGACGGTGTGTGCATGTTGGACGAGCGATACAGATCTGGAAATTATTGCTTGCGCACATTCATGCGGACAATTGTGGTTTGTGTAAATTGAGAAATGGCTTAACAATATGTACGGTTTCGTGTTTAAACATATAAACTTGATTTTTCAAATATATTTCTATATTTTAGCTACATATATAAGCTGATATTTCTATATTTTTCTTAAATATAGAAATGGTGTTTCGGTGTTTAACATGTAAGCGCCCCAAATCGACACATGTCAAATCATCACATATATGGACTCGGTCACATATACAGGTAAACATAGCCACTTTGTACATGTACGTGGATCGCAGTTTTCCCCACCCGGAGCACTTACGTACTCGTCAAGGTGTGCAAAACCAGGCGAAGGGGAGCTATAGACCAAAACGATGCAAATAGCTAATACTTAACGTCCAGTTGTGTTTTCATAACTGTCATACGGTCTCATAATTCGCATCTCTATGTCAGGAACAGGGCGCCAGGTAAAACTCCAGTCACTCATCAAAATGTTATTTTCCTGTTCCGTTACCTGGGAGCAAAACCCATTCTTGACAGTCTAACAGTCTCTCTAGTACAGTGTAACACGCATTGTAAAATTTAACATAATATGTAATTAATATAATGAGAAATTTACGTATACATTGTCTCTTATTCAATACAAGCCTTCATGATTGTTTTCAATCCATAATATTGATAAAAAAAAACAATGGTACCAAATTGCACATTTGTGCAGAGAGAAGCGTACAACAGGGCAAACGATCGATAAATCGGACAGTTGTGCGCACCATGTATGGACGATCTGCGGACGGTCGTGCACGATGTATGCACGATGTCCGCACGCTATTTTTGGTGCGTTGCGCGGTCTCACAACTGTATATGTAAATGTTTTAACAGATATGCATAAGTTCTCATATGATAACTTTGCAATAAATAATAAAACATAGATCCTGATAGATAAGGAGGACTTTAAGGAGAATTCTCCTTAAATATCCAAAGTACGAGAGCAAGAGTGTATGCAAGTTGTGTTTTGTACTGTCTTTTGTAAAATAACATGTGAAAGAAACCAAATAAATGTGTTGAAAGAAAGAAAGAAAAAAAAATAAATAAGAAGGACTTCACGATTTTATGGAAGTCTGCACACCAGGGATGAAAGGTCAAGTGCATCTTAATTCATTGAAACTTCCACACGCATGCGTGAAAGCATGATAGTTTGAAATATTAAAAACCACGGGCAAACTTCGAACCAACCCGGGAAAATCTAACATTTAAGATATAATATATACAATTTTGTTTCTTTGTATAGATCATGGTGTTGACTCTTTCTGCTGGGGATGAGGACAATCAATGTTACAGTTTCCAGAGTGCAATAATTCCACGAGGGATGAATAACTATGTTATGTCGACAGGAAGGTCAGTTGATCATAAAGTTAAATGTTATGTAGAAAAATGTTTTCTCCTTTTAGTTTGTTCTTTATTTCCATTCAACTGCCCAAAGAGGAGACACAAATGTTATAATATATTGATACTGTTATGTCAGTGTACTACATTTTGTAATGTATTCTAATATTTCAACAGGAAACCATGAATAAAAATGACCGCAGAAACAGTATTAAACGAATTCCTCCTTTACAATCTTAACCTTGGGCAAATCATAGCATAAGGTAGCTTTCTCTTCTTTATGCATTGTAACCTGCTATCTATTTACATATTAGCCGTCCTAGTTTAGCAACTAATTCATAAATTATTGTAACGAAAGTAAATATGATATTCACTCTCTAGTGATTACAAAGTTTATACCGTACGAAGATAACACAAAAACTGTACAAGTTATCCGTACTCATTAGTGATAATAACTTTGTTATCTATGCTGGTTTAAGGTTAGATGGTGAATACACTTACCGACATACCTTGAATTGTTACTGTCTGATATCAAAAAATAAAGTGATTAAAGCATATACAATTCATATCATTGATGCAAATTTAACAGAGAAGGTATGATAGAATTTAACTCCCTGTTTTAACAATTTAACTGAGATTTATATAAACCATAATATTTCATAAAGGCTAAAAACAAATTGAACACAAACAGGAATTGAAAACATTTTTTCACAACATATTTCATAGTGAACTCTTCATTTTGTTCTGCCCTTGCAGATTTGTCTCCTGTTTAACCTTAAGTGATTTTCCTGTCAACCTCTAAGCTGTAGAAAAGCTGTACACTTAATAGAAAAAATACAACCCCACCAATCCGCGAGTTTGGACTTCAGCCCAATAGTTCAGGTCCTTGTGTTATATCCTCAAAGTAAGAAAAAATCTGTTAGTCAAAGTCAAACAGAACCAAATCAGCTGATACTACATTAATAAATAGTTCGTATATATAGTTTTATCTAAACCCGAACAGTATATCCATATATTAATGTTTATCACTTTGACTGTGTAACTGAACACATGTCATCCATCGGTACAAAATCACATTTATGTACCACTTATTAAAAGAAATGTGTTGCTATTTTTAAATACAATGATTGTGTTAGTTATATGTGTGCATAAACTTCACAGGTAAAACTCCTTTACGGGTACTTTCTTATTCAGGTGGGACAAAATACAAAGGGATGTCCTTGTTATCATAATTTGTACTAAACTATTAAAGGACGAAACAGGTTAGTTCTTAACATATTTGACTACCTTTACGTGTTACAGTAAGCTTATTGCATATATTTTGTTTAGAATATGGCGATGCTGTATAGTGTTACAGTAAGTTAAGTTTAAATATTTTTTGTCTGGATATGGCGTGGACATTGGTGTGGGGTTACTGTGTCTCATTGCGGAGATGACAGTGAACCAGCAATCGAACAATCAACAGCAAAAAGCAAGGATTTGTTGATCTTAATCAAGAAAACGTAAATTGATATAGTCATGTGAACTAGACAGAGGTGTATATTCTATGCTAGATATATTGCGTTACATTAACTATGTGGTATTGCTTGTTACTGTGTACAATATAAAGTACACCAAAGCTTGTGACGGGTGTGCTATATATAAACCGTTTTATGGTCATACAGGTGGTGAATGGGGTGTCTGGCTGTAATAAATCAGACAAACTAAGCACAGTGTGTCGTAGGTATAAAGTCAAGTTGTGGTATACATGTATATGTCGATCAGACATACATGTGTATGAGCAAGCACATATCGCTATAGCCATAACAAAAAGCTTTTTAAAACCTTTGGAAGATAGCTATTGGATTTTTCTTTTGCATATCTGTTACTCGATCATGTTAAAGGGTAAATTGTATGAGTCCTATTTAGTGGTGTGGATACGTGTTCGTAGCTGGCCAGGTAACGAACATACACGGATCATGTTAGAAACATCATGTACAGTGCAGGTGTTTGATACAATGAGATGTTATGTCACTACGCAGGGTAATACAGAACAAAATGACGTCCGCACACAATTACAAAATCTCAAACCAAATACAAGCAGAATGAAAAATGTCCATTCATTGACACCAATGTAACAACAAAGTATGAATTGTAAAAAGAATTTATTTATTTATAATATGTTTAATTGGACGTATAGAAATATCGATGTCATGTATAAAAAGGGCTAGTTAAATTACTGGTAGTTATGGTTTGCCTTTCTGGTTTACAGACAACCGCTCTAAAGCCCGGGAAGAAGTTTCAAATTTTGTATTCATTGTTAACTCGAATGATTATTATCACTAGAATATGCTACATTTGTAATTCAACATATGTACATACAGAAAGAGAAATGGCAGGTATATACACCTAAAGATCTGTTACATATCTCTAATGAATCCAAAAAGGTGAACAGTATATATGTAATGGTATCTTTATCTTTATAAGACCGAACGAAGAACAAAAGACTTGTCCTTTTGATTTAGAAGATTTGCATGGTTGATGAAATGAAAATCCCATTCCTTCCCTGCAATCACTTGATTTGATGTGAGAATTGTGCCGCGATGATGACGATTTGTCGGGTTTCGTCGAGAACATATCAATTACACAGTGAACTGTTACGGATCCTCAAATTGGTGTTAACCGACTGCAACATCATCTTCTCGCCATCTAAAAAGTAGCGGACAGCATCTAAAGAAACAAATCATCGCCATCACTCATCGTTACTACTGCTGCTGATACAATCAAAGATCGATTATTTATCAGAAATTACTACCATTGGCAGGAATCAGAAGAAACAACGAAGAAACACTTATTCGTTAAAAGGGGAGTTGGTGACCGACTACGATCACTAGCCTTCCATCACTGGGTCGTGGGTTCGAGGTCTTCATGGAGCAGTCACTAAGTACTTGCCTTAAGTCGGGTTTTTTTCTCCGGGTACTTCGGGCAACTAATTAAGGTGAGAGTACCTCGGGCCACTAGTTTAGGTGAGAGTATATTAGGCCACTAGTGTAGATGAGAGTATATCTGGCCACTAGTGTAAGTGAGCATATATCGGGCCACTAGTGTAAGTGAGAATATATCTTGCCACTAGTGTAAGTGAAAGTATATCGGGCCACTAGTGTAAGTGAGAATATATCGGGCCACTAGTGTAAGTGAGAATATATCGGGCCACTAGTGTAAGTGAGAATATATCGGGCCACTAGTGTAAGTGAGAATATATCGGGCCACTAGTGTAAGTGAGAATATATCGGGCCACTAGTGTAAGTGAGAATATATCGGGCCACTAGTGTAAGTGAGAATATATCGGGCCACTAGTGTAAGTGAGAATATATCGGGCCACTAGTGTAAGTGAGAATATATCCTGCCACTAGTTTAAGTGAGAGTATATCTGGCCACTAGTGGAGGTGAGAGTATATCTGGCCACTCGTGGAGGTGAGGGTATATCTGGCCTCTAGTTAATGTGAGAGTATATCTGGCTACCAGTGTAGGCGAGAGTATATCTGGTCACTAGTGTAGGTGAGAGTATATATCTGGCCATTAGTGTAGGTGAGGGTATAGCTTGCCACTTGTTAAGGTTAGAGTATATCTGTCCACTAGTGTAGGTGAGAGTATATCCGGCCACTAGTGGAGGTGAGGGTATATCTGGCCACTAGTGTAGGTGAGGGTACATCAGGCCAATAGTGTAGGTGAGGGTACATCAGGCCACTAGTGTAGGTGATGGTATATCAGGCCACTAGTGTAGGTGAGAGTATATCTGGCCACTAGTGTAGGTGAGGGTATATCAGGCCACTAGTGTAGGTGAGGGTATATCTGGCCACTAGTATAGGTGAGAGTATATCTGGCCACTGGTAGATGTGAGGGTATATCAGGCCACTAGTGTAGGTGAGAGTATATCTGGCCGCTAGTTTGGGTGGGAGTATATCTGTCCACTAGTATAGGTGAGAGTATATCTGGCCACCAGTGTAAGTGAGGGTATATCGGGCCACTAGTTTAGGTGAGAGTATATCTGGCCACTAGTGTAGGTGCGGTATATCTGGCCACCAGTGTAAGTGAGGTTATATCGGGCCACTAGTGTAGGTGAGAGTATATCTGGCCACTAGTGTAAGTGAGGTTATATCGGGCCACTAGTGTAGGTGAGAGTATATCTTGCAACTTGTGAAGGTGCGTGTATACCAAGCCACTGGTGCAGGTGAGTTACACATTTTAACTGTAATCCGTTGTTTGACCCTTTGAGGTACACCTTAAACTTCAGCGGCTTGAAGTAAGATTTTGCTCCTCTCTAGTCTTCAAAGTACGGGTACGTGTATCAGCCTAGCACTTTGTACTTGAAACCAGGGAGCGTGACGCCTGGAATTTCAATAATTATCTTAGGTAGACAATTAATATACAATTGCGACAGCCAAACTCCAGTATAGGTCAGTTATTTACAACGTTATGATTATGACATAACAATTGTAATGAAGTCACTGTCATCAGGCCTTATTCGTGTCTCATACCTAACATCTAAGGTTGGTGTAGACATGTAGCATGTACATGCATAACAAGATGGTGTACACCTATACAGGTATAACTGTAAATATCATGGAAATGTAGCATTTATTATAAAATCTTAATTTTGTTAAATCATGTTCATGACTGCTTGTTTTTGTGAATTTATTAGTCGATTTCACGGTATCAATTGTTCGCACATTTCAGTTCTATGGCACAAAGTGCTACGGTACCGATGTGTTTATTTCTTCATGCCACTCAATTTGTTTTCTGAAACATTATTGCGGCGGAACCCACAAACTTAGAACCCCGCGAATAACAATATTTACAGTACGCCTTTGATGGTATATGCTTGTATGTGATGGTGGATAATATAACTAGATTTGAAAATATTCGAAAAATAAACAATACAAGCCGCAACATTTTAAAGGTTGAGCAGCTCGACATACAACAATCGACAATTGCACAATTTTAGGACCAATGCCTAAAACTAGTAACCACTTGTGCCAGACACAGTGACCTCCCTTGACATTCTTTATGTACACATATTACATGTACATAAAACCAGTGCCCTGTGAACACCTTTTGACCTGGAATGTGACCGGTATAAAGGGAGATAAACTTCTTGTGTTAGACAACCTGTAGTAAAACAGAATAATTCTTTGCATAGACTGATAATTATAACGAGATAAGTGTAAAATCAGATCTCTCTGATTCATATGTCCAGACATCTACAGTACCGAAAATTACAGTTTTCTTGAAAAGAAAAACAGTTCAATGGCGTCGTAAAGATTAAGTGGTTACTACAAAATGTATATCAACAATTTACATAAATGCATTGTCTTTTCCTAAAAGATCCTGTTTATCGAATATGTCTCTGATTCCAATTTGGTGTTTAGTTATTTAGAAATACATTTTAAACATAACGCTGACGGACGTGAACCTCCTTACAGGTGTCACAGAGGTTATGTGTACCAATACCCTTTCCTTCGTGGTGTGGGACTTTATAACGATTACACAATGTGCAACCCATTTGATAATGACGTGTACAACTTATATCTGTAGCAGCGTGATCGCACACTTTCCTAATAATTAAGTGATTATTTTTCGAGATCATAGGTCAAACTATAAAATACAAGTTCATGTAAACATAAAATGATATATACATGTAACACTTAAGCTAAAAGTAACCAAAAATCGACATATTTAGTTGGATTATTCCGCAAACACGATAAACTAACAGCCATATGCTTAAGTGCAGTGTGATTGCCGTAAATATGAAAATTAATGAGGAATTTAAGTAAGTATTGGATAGGTTAATGCTTTATGCCTTTGTGAAAACACATGTTCTTCATCTCAGGGTTTTTATTTCCGAAGGAAAAACATTTGGGCCTTTTATACATATTGAATTAGAACACTGGTACAGCAACAATCAGAGAACATATTTACGCATGGGTATCTTATGTTTTAGGTAAAGTTACTGAGAGAAGTCACGTTTATAAAGTAGTGCAAACGCAGTCGACAAGCAAGGAACTCGGCGTCCACATCAGGAACCTAGCAGTGAGCCATATCAAAGAGAAACACACCATGTGAAACCGGGGCCCGTATTCATGAAACCGTTCTCATGCTCAAACATGGATTCTGTGCTCAAGCCAGAATTCATGTGACCCATCTACACATCATGTCAACGATCAAAAGTTCAAATTTAAATATTGAAAACAGTATTCGGCTTATTAAATTTAAATATTGAAAACAGTATTCGGCTTCAAGTTTCTTCAATTTTGGTCCAAAACTTTAACAAAATGATATTTTTTAAATAATTTATAACTGGAACAAGAAATAAGTCTTGAGCACAAAATCGATGCTCGAGGATGAGAACGGTTTCATGAATACGGGCCCAGGTGTTTTGTGAAGAGTAAGCGTATCCTTAATTGCATTCATTAGCAACGTTTTATTTTTTACGATAAGATGTAATAGGAATCCATCGCAAACACAAACCAATTTATGTCACAAACCATCCGTCCCCATCCATGTCAGCTGTAAACTACATATGAGTAGTAACATACTCAATATCTCGACTGGTGGACATTGTATATACTTATATCGTCGTCATTTTAGCTAAAAACACATGCAATGGCTACTTTCTTTCTTAAATCAGAATTTGTTATACAAATAAATCGCAACTACCTTATTCACTTTACATGCATCGTCATCTATGATCAAACAACAATAAAGACAAAGGAATGAAATATTGGACCAACTTAAGTGTATTATATGTACCTGTATCGTGAATCATCAAATCGTATCTAGAGGTAACAGTCGGGGACCTCACCCCTAATCATGGTCTACACACAAAGGTAACTGTGTCGGGGACCTCACCCGTAACCATGGTCTACACACACAGGTAACTGTGTCGGGGACCTCACCCGTAATCATGGTCTACACACACATATACCTGTATCGTGGATCATCAAGTCGTATCAAGAGGTAACTGTGTCAGGGGCCTCACCCGTAACCATGGTCTCCACACCCAGGTAACTGTGTCGGGGACCGTACCCGTAATCATGGTCTACACACCCAGGTAACTGTGTCGGGGACCGTACCCGTAATCATGGTCTACACACCCAGGTAACTGTTTCGGGGACCTCACCCATAACCATGGTCTACACACACAGGTAACTGTGTCGGGGACCGTACCCGTAATCATGGTCTACACACACATGTACCTGTATCGTGGATCATCAAGTCGTATCAAGAGGTAACTGTGTCAGGGGCCTCCCCCGTAACCATGGTCTACACACCCAGGTAACTGTGCCGGGGACATCAGCCATAGCCATGGTCTACACACCCAAGTAACTGCGTTGCGGACCTCACCCGTAACCATGGTCTACACACCCAGGTAACTGTGCCGGGGACATCAGCCGTAACCATGATCTACACACCCCGGTAACTGTGTCCGGGACATCACCCGTAACTATGGTCTACACACACATGTAACTGTGTCGGGGACCTCACCCGTAACCATGGTCTACACACATGTACCTGTATCGTGGATCATCAAGTCGTATCAAGAGGTAACTGTGTCAGGGGCCTTACCCGTAACCATGGTCTACACACCAGGTAACTGTGCCGGGGACATCAGCCGTAACCATGGTCTACACACCCAGGTAACTGTGTTGCGGACCTCACCCGTAACCATGGTCTACACACCCAGGTATCTGTGCCGGGAACATCAGCCGTAACCATGGTCTACACACCCCGGTAACTGTGTCGGGGACATCACCCGTAACCATGGTCTACACACACAGGTAACTGTGTCGGGAACCTCACCCGTAACCATGGTCTACACATACGGGTAACTGTGTCGGGGACCTCACCCCTTACCATGGTCTACACACATAGGTAACTGTGTCGGGGGCCTTACTCGTAACCATGGTCTACACACCCAGTTAACTGTGTCGGCAACCTCACCCCTAACCATGGTCTACACACACAGGTAACTGTGTCGGGGGCCTTACTCGTAACCATGGTCTACACACACAGGTAACTGTGTTGGGGACCTCACCCGTAACAATGATCTACACACAAAGGTAACTGTGTCGGGGACCTCACCCGTAACCATGGTCTACACACACAGGTAACTGTGTTGGGGACCTCACCCGTAACAATGATCTACACACAAAGGTAACTGTGTCGGGGACATCACTCGTAACCATGGTCTACACACAAGTAACAGTGTCGGGGACCTCACCCGTAACCATGGTCTACACACACAGGTAACTGTGTCGGGGGCCTTACTCGTAACCATGGTCTACACACACAGGTAACTGTGTTGGGGACCTCACCCGTAACAATGATCTACACACAAAGGTAACTGTGTCGGGGATAACCATGGTCTACACACCCAGGTAACTGTGTCGCGGACCTCACCCGTAATCATTGTCTATCCACAAAGGTAACTGTTTCGGGGACCTCGCCCGTAACCATGGTCTACACACCCAGGTAACTCTGTCGGGGACATCACCCGTAACCATGGTCTACACACAAAGGCAACTGTGTCGGGGACATCACCCGTAACCATGGTCTACACACCCTGGTAACTGTGTCGGGGACCTCAACCGTAACCATGGTCTACACACAAAGGGAACTATCAGCCGTAACCATGGTCTACACACCCCGGTAACTGTGTCGGGGACATCACCCGTAACCATGGTCTACACACACCATGGTCTACACACCCAGGTAACTGTGTCGCGGTCCTCACCCGTAATCATGGTCTATCCACAAAGGTAACTGTTTCGGGGCCCTCACCCGTAACCATGGTCTACATACAAAGGTAACTGTGTCGGGGACCTCACCCGAAACCATGGACTACACACAAAGGTAACTGTGTCGGGGACATCACTCGTAACCATGGTCTACACACACAAGTAACAGTGTCGGGGCCCTCCCCCGTAACCATGGTCTACACACAAAGGTAACTCTGTCAGGGACATCAGCCGTAACCATGGTCTACACACAAAAGGTAACACTGTCGGGGACATCACCCGTAACCATGGTCTACACACACAAGTAACTGTGTCGGGGACCTCACCCGTAACCATTGTCTACACACAAAGGTAACTCTGTCGGGGACATCACCCGTAAGCATGGTCTACACACACAAGTAACAGTGTCGGGGACATCACCCGTAACCATGGTCTACACACCCTGGTAACTGTGTCGGGGACCTCACCCGCAACCATGGTCTACACACCAAGGTACCTGTGCCGGGGACATCAGCCGTAACCATGGTCTACACACAAAAGGTAACACTGTCGGGGACATCACCCCGGTAACTGTGTCGGGGACATCACCCGTAACCATGGTCTACACACAAAGGTAACTCTGTCGGCGACATCACCCGTAACCATGGTCTACACACACAAGTAACAGTGTCGGGGACATCACCCGTAACCATGGTCTACACACACCATGGTCTACACACCCAGGTAACTGTGCCGGAAACATCAGCAGTAACCCTGGTCTACACACAAAGGTAACTCTGTCGGCGACATCACCCGTAACCATGGTCTACACACCCTGGGAACTGTGTCGGGGACCTCACCCGTAACCATTGTCTACACACAAAGGTAACTCTGTCGGGGACATCACCCGTAAGCATGGTCTACACACACAAGTAACAGTGTCGGGGACATCACCCGTAACCATGGTCTACACACACCATGGTCTACACACCCAGGTAACTGTGCCGGGGACCTCACCCGTAACCATGGTCTACACGCCCAGGTACCTGTGTCGGGGACCTCACCCATAACCATGGTCTACACACCCAGGTAACTGTGTCGGGGACCTCAGCCGTAACCATGGTCTACACACCCTGGTAACTGTGTCGGGGACCTCACCCGGAACCATGGACTACACACCCAGGTACCTGTGTCGGGGACCTCACCCATAACCATGGGCTACACACCCAGGTAACTGTGTCGCGGACCTCACCCGTAATCATTGTCTATCCACAAAGGTAACTGTTTCGGGGACCTCGCCCGTAACCATGGTCTACACACCCAGGTACCTGTGTCGGGGACCTCACCCATAACCATGGTCTACACACCCAGGTAACTGTGTCGCGGACCTCACCCGTAACCATGGTCTATCCACAAAGGTAACTGTTTCGGGGACCTCACCCGTAACCATGGTCTACACACAAAGGTAACTGTGTCGGGGACCTCACCCGTAACAATGGTCTACACACAAAGGTAACTGTGTCGGGGACCTCACCCGTAACGATTGTCTACACACAAAGGTAACTGTGTCGGGGACCTCACCCGTAACGATGGTCTACACACAAAGGTAACTGTGTCGGGGACATCACCCGTAACCATGGTCTACACACCCTGGTAACTGTGTCGGGGACCTCACCCGGAACCATGGACTACACACCCAGGTACCTGTGTCGGGGACCTCACCCATAACCATGGTCTACACACCCAGGTAACTGTGTCGCGGTCCTCACCCGTAATCATGGTCTATCCACAAAGGTAACTGTTTCGGGGACCTCACCCGTAACCATGGTCTACACACCCAGGTACCTGTGTCGGGGACCTCACCCATAACTATGGTCTACACACCCAGGTAACTATGTCGCGGACCTCACCCGTAACCATGGTCTATCCACAAAGGTAACTGTTTCGGGGACCTCACCCGTAACCATGGTCTACATACAAAGGTAACTGTGTCGGGGACCTCACCCGTAACGATGGTCTACACACAAAGGTAACTGTGTCGGGGACCTCACCCGTAACGATGGTCTACACACAAAGGTAACTGTGTCGGGGACCTCACCCGTAACCATGGTGTACACACCCCGGTAACTGTGTTGCGGACCTCACCCTTAACCATGGCCTACACACCCGGGTAACTGTGTTGCGGACCTCACCCGTAACCATGGTCTACACACAAATGTAACTCTGTCGGGGACCTCACCCGTAACAATGGTCTACACACAAAGGTAACTGTGTCGGGGACCTCACCCATAACTATGGTCTACACACCCAGGTAACTATGTCGCGGACCTCACCCGTAACCATGGTCTATCCACAAAGGTAACTGTTTCGGGGACCTCGCCCGTAACCATGGTCTACACACAAAGGTAACTGTGTCGGGGACCTCACCCGTAACCATGGTGTACACACAAAGGTAACTGTGTTGCGGACCTCACCCGTAACCATGGTCTACACATCCGGGTAACTGTGTTGCGGACCTCACCCGTAACCATGGTCTACACACAAAGGTAACTGTGTTACGGCCCTCACCCGTAACCATGGTCTACATCACCCGTAACCATGGTCTACCCACAAAGGTAACTCTGTCGGGGACATCACCCGCAACCATGGTCTACACACACAAGTAACAGTGTCGGGGACATCACCCGTACCCATGGTCTACACACAAAGGTAACTGTGCCGGGGACCTCACCCGTAACCATGGGGTACACACAAAGGTAACTGTGTGGCGGACCTCACCCGTAACCATGGTGTACACACAAAGGTAACTGTGTTACGGCCCTCACCCGTAACCATGGTCTACACACACAAGTAACAGTGTCGGGGACATCACCCGTAACCATGGTCTACACACAAAGGTACTGTGTCGGGGACCTCACCCGTAACCATGGTCTACACACAAAGGTAACTTTGTCGCGGACCTCACCCGTAACCATGGTCTACACACAAAGGTAACTGTGTCGGGGACCTCCCCCGTAACCATGGTCTACACACCCAGGTAACTGTGCCGGGGACAGCAGCCGTAACCATGGTCTACACACAAATGTAACTCTGTCGGGGACATCACCCGTAACCATGGTCTACACACAAAGGTAACTGTGTCGGGGACATCACCCGTAACCATGGTCTTCATACAAAGGTAACTTTGTCGCGGACCTCACCCGTAGCCATGGTCTACACACAAAGGTAACTGTGTCGGGGACATCACCCGTAACCATGGTCTACACCCACAAGTAACAGTGTCGGGGACCTCATCCGTAACCATGGTCTACACACACAAGTAATAGTGTCGGGGACCTCACCCGTAACCATGGTCTTCACACCCAGGTAACTGTGTCGGGGACCTCAGCCGTAACCATGGTCTACACACCCTGGTAACTGTGTCGGGGACCTCACCCGGAACCATGGTCTACACACTAAGGTAACTGTGCCGGGGACATCAGCCGTAACCATGGTCTACACACAAAAGGTAACACTGTCGGGGACATCACCCGTAACCATGGTCTACACACAAAGGTAACTGTGTCGGGGACATCACCCGTAACCATGGTCTACACACAAAAGTAACAGTGTCGGGGACCTCACCCGTAACCACGGTCTACACACAAAGGTAACTGTGTCGGGGACCTCCCCCGTAACGATGGTCTACACACAAAGGTAACTGTGTCGGCGACCTCACCCGTAACCATGGTCTACACACACAGGTAACTGTGTCGGGCACCTCACCCGTAACCATGGTCTACACTTTCATCTGTTACACGTTTGCGTATCAATTACTAACATATATATATATAGCTACTTTTACATTTGATTTATGTCGATAAACTCATTGCTGAATACCGTACATGAAATGCTTGGACATGTGTTTGAGAACATAAAAGCAAATCATATACTTACTGACACTACATTTGTCTATAAAGCGTGCACATGTATTTATGGCACATATTTGTTTGTCTAATACGGGCGATATTTTTATCATAGTTGCCGACGTAGCCACAAGTAGTTATATTTGTATTCGAACCTAGAACGTAAGATTTATAGGTCTACGTACCTGCGTGGAGAACACCATATAAACATTAAATATGACCCGTTTTCTGTAGTCACAGCATGTGTTTATCATGCATATGTGTGTGTCTAGGACCGTAGAAATATGCCCACCATTAAATCGCTATCGTACCTGTGTCTCTGTCGAGGACCTTAGAGGTATTTAACTTCACAATGTAGAACGATATAGAAAACGTCTGTGCATCTGTATGGCTTTCATTCTTTGTGTACGACATTGATAAGGCAATTCATGCAATCACACTTACACTAGGTACAGTATAACTATTGACTTTGACAAGAAAATGAATACCATCGAATAACAGGTCATAAGTCTAAGTCAAGGTCTTAGGTGCAAATCATGATTATTTTGTAGGCATACCTCTTTTGACATACATGTTAATCGACATAAATTAAAACATTTTGATAACAACGGCAAAGAAGGAAAATATGTTTGTGTTTATTTGCTCGAAAGTAAAAGTCAAGAAAAGTTTAGTATGAAATTGGTCATGGATGTTACGGTTTAAGTTGCCGTCTAGTGTTTTAAAAACAAAATAAAGAATAAAGTTTTTACCTGGTTGAAAAAAATGCTCTGCAAAGGCAGTTTTCAATAATGAATTGCATCTTTTGCGGTGCTTTGTTGTCGTACATGAATTTCCGTTAAGGCCTCTACGAGATTGCCATACTAAACTACGGTAAACATGTCAGTGTCTATTTGCTATAAATAGACCAGTGTAATATGCTATTTATAAATGTCGGTAACACTAGCTTCACATACAAATGTACCCGGTGTCCTAGTTTATTAATGTATGGTGACCCATACGTGGTTAAACCAAACTTACATAAATTCATAGACTTGTTTAACGTAATGATTTGTAATTTGCGGAGCATTTAAATAAACCTCACATGGGATACAATGTAACCTCCAAATTAACAACCACACAAAATATAAGGGAATTGAAAACTCACAGAAAAAAATAATCAATCATACCAATAAGTGTGGTTTTGCGAATTGAAAATATTAAACTATGGCATTGTGTCGTCTCAAGGTAATCGTAAAACTGAGGATTGATGGTTAGACATTATTTTGTATTCCACTCTCTCACAAAAATAATGTTGATTCGCATAGTGTTAATGCTTTTGACATTGTGGGTTTGTTTGACATGCTGAAACTAATGCCAGGCGTAAATGATCCTCCACACCTCTGTTTACCTTCTGCTATATACGACACTCCCCTTTTCATGGAATTCCAGTGTTAAAATAGCGACAGTGCTCCAATCTACGTATTGCAGACAGGTAAGACTATTTAATCTATTTAACCAAGGCATACTTTGGCGGGTATATTATATAGACTATGTTTCATTGTCATTAATGTGAAAACAGATAAGGTATACGTACGTAGCATTATTTTAAATGTCAAGCCGTATTTATACATACTTACATGGTAGTTATGTTATTCATGTGTATGCTACGGGCCGTTGGTTAATGTCTGCAACACTGTCGATAAGCGATACATGTATTACAGACAGTATGCGTATGATAACATAGATGTCATAGCTTAAATTATGAAAATGATACAATACTGAGTCATACCTATTATAAGTATCGCCATCATTTGAAATGTCTTCCCGGAGTACTGTTTCAAGCAACTACATGTAAGTAGCATATTTTATTACCTTTCTGATATTTATTTTGTCACACAAATTTACTTTAATCCGAAAACAACAAATAAATGTATACAAAACTATGTTTAGATAACAAACATAAACATTCAAAAAATCAGGGTTAAATGTAAGGTTTCGCACAAACATGTAATTAAATACAACGACCTTGGTTATCCATATAGCACAAACTGTGTGCTTTAAAAAAACATGTTCACACTTTAAAACCTCGATCCTAAACACAATGTAATTAAAATATAGAAAATTGATGAGGAAATCAGAATTGATTCAGACGACGTTATCAATGATATCATCAAAAACCTGATTTTTATTTTTTTTAAAGATAAATGTCACTATGGACGGCATAAAGATGTTGTGCACTTTTATTATGCAAATGGACAAATCACGAACGCTACTTTAAAAAGAAATATCAGAAAGCATTTATTTTGAATAGTGTCAAATGGTGAACAAAATTTGAAAATTGGTGGTAGAAGAAAAATAAAATGTCTGGAATGACAAAAAGTAGCGTATTATATGAGAATAACAAGTGCATGTGATCATTATTCTGTGAGAAGAATGGAGTAACGTCTGCGAATTACTTGTCAATACTGAATAGAGAACTTGTATTTAATTGGAGAAAAATAGATGAGTACATGTGCTTTTAGCAGGATGCAGCCACTAGTTAGTATCTGGTATATTTGGGGAAGACTTTATCCCTGCTCTCATACATTGAGACTATTTTAGTTTGGTTATTTAAAGGATCATGCTACATCAAAAGGATTTTCTTAGAAACTTGGGAAAATGTGACAGATTGAAGATAATGTCAGAGAAAAATAGAGACATTGGAGCATATCATAAAATGACGTTATAATTGTAATTGAGGAAAATCGAAAACCTATCTTTTATAATTGTTATACAATTAATGATAAATTGTTTGGAGTTTCAATCATGATTATTAACCAATAAACGTCGAATATTTATGATAAAAGTTTAAAGCTGCAAATTGGGGGAAAGTATTTTGTAAACATTCTGTTTAAATGGTAGAAAGGTTCCCATGAGAGAGTCATATATCTTTATTTGTGCTATTGGCTGTACTTTCTCCGATATAAACGATTATCACGTAAACAGTTGCATTTATCACTATATGTTTCTTCTCACAAATTTATCTGTCTAACTGACTATGAACATTGACAGTGAACTATCGTTTACCATGCTTTAAAGAGTAACGCATAGGTATCGTTGCCACAAAACATACCTTTATAATATACGGTGACAAACAAATCCTAAGAGTAACATGTAATGACGAAATCTGTTTTATGATAGCTTACCTTCAGTCCTGAGTACTTGCTCAATGACATTTTTACTGATTTGTGTTAGAGGCATCTTCTCTTGACTAAACATTGGTGTAATTGAGTCCACTAAATGCAAAGCATGAAGATATGCTCCTTTTTTTTACTATATCGCAGAACAAACGCTGAATTGTTATGGCATTTTATAACCTTCGATTATCAAGAGAAATGAGTGATACTTATCCCTTTGATTTCTGTAATTGATCAAAGTGTATTAATTCAGCACGTTACACCAAAAGTCTTATAATTTATTTTTTGTACTTTTTCCTCGTTTACAGCATGGAAATGCGGTTATCCTCAGAAGATATGGTCTTTCTGTGCCGTTTGATGCAATTGCTGCATCAGCTTGGAACGCTTGCTCTACGAAACTTGCTGATCAAATCGCTCTTTGTGAGATACATACAATCAAGACGAGCAACATTTACTTACTTTGCTGATAAACAAGTCGTTGTAACAGACCATGTGACAGGAGGAGGTAGCGGATACTCAACAAAGTATCGTGTGCCAAATCCTTTACCAGATATCGAAAAATGTGTCAAAGATTCAAAGGATGGTGGAGCTTTGCTAAACTACATCGAGGAAACTTTTCTAACTGAAACCGTTAACAACAACCTGACAAAACTAGCTAACTTAACGAAAAGAAAAGTTATGAATAAAGTTCAATGGGAAACTCTTTTTTCAAACGCGACTGTAACTATTCATGATTTAGATTTAACTCTTCTCAGCTTATTACTGTTCAATCTATTTAACTTCAAACCAACCGCTGATATGAAAACATTGCCGCTTAGTGGTATCATTTCGGAGGCGGACGATGTCTTGCGTCTTAGGATATACAGAAACAAGATAGCACACCTGAAGTCTTTGGAGATTACCCCTAAAGAATTTGAAGACATGTGGAAAGATATTAGTTGTGCAGTCATACGCTTGCTCGGATCAGCATACCAGAATGATATGAATCGTCTGAAAATCACAAATTTTGACGAGGCTGCCGTCATTCGATATGAACAACTCAGGAAGGAATGGTCTCAAACCGTAACTGAGATCTACCAGTCACTCAGTGACATTCAGGAGGAGTTAAGATCAATCAAGAAAAGACCAAAACATCGAAAAGGCATGTGATAATGATAGTATAGAAAATAAGTACGCATATTCAGCAACAAAGTGTTTACGTTTGATAATGCGTTTTCTTTTTTTAGCACAATTGTGAGTTATTATTTATAATTTATTGGCGAATGGACATGTTGCAATAAGGTCCATCGTTGTGTTACTACACGGCACTTCAAATATCACGTGTTTTCCTGAAAATTGATTGAAGGCTTATATAGCACAACCAGTGAATGATAATGTATGATGTATTGATGACTTGGCACTCTGCTACCATCAGACTAATGTTGTGTCTGATAAAGGTGACATATCAAGCATATTCGCTAAGGCCCAATGAAGCATTAACGGGCACCTGTCACCCTTTGTATTATCTAACAATGTAATCTATTCAGTACAAACGTCTTACTTAGAGAACTGAAGAATATCAAAATCAGTTTATTAATTTGTTGAATTATATATCAACGCAGTGCTTTTTCCATATTGTAGGGGTAGCAATTCAGCTGGTAAACAGTGACGACTTACACAGAGCGTTAACAGTTTTGAAGAAAAAAGGGATAACTACTAAAGTGATCTCCCTTGATGAAACTGACAGCGACTCTTCAGATTCCTTGGTAGAAACTGTGACTAATAGAAAAAGCAAAAGTGCAGGATGTTTGGAACTGTTAGACTATGTTGATGGCGAAGATACCATTCGAGCTTACCGAAGTAGTACTCATCTCGAATCCGAAACACTAAGGGCAAAGGAAATGGTAATGGTTTGGTATAAAACATGTGTACAATATCTCTGTGAACTGGGGTATTAATCGAACTTTTGAATGCGAAATCGTAAGAAACGTGTTTATTATTTGTATTGCGTAAACACCGAATAAATCTTGTAACGTAAAGCTTTAGTGTAGTTCATACGATGTTTTCGTGAAAACTATTGAATACAATTTAACAATCATTATATAATTCATACTGAAAATGGTGTTTTCTAACGGCGAATAAATAACAATCTATTTTTATTGAATTGAAAAAGTATTTTTTATCAAAACATCATTATGTTTCCTAGTTCAATGAATGTTACATGTACATATATCTTAACTTATATAACACTACATGATGCTATGTCTACAGGCGGAACCCTTCCATGTAATGTTTCCTGGTAATGAAACAAATAATACATCAAACGACCCTCCCCGGCGATGGTCGCTGACTGATTCTAGACCAGGGTTGACAGGAGAATCTACAACCTTTGGGTGTCATTCTGTGCCATCAACATCATCATGTGATTCTTTGTTTGAAGATAACAAGGTAACATCTTACTTATCTTAAATCACTAAGCCTAAATACGGTTATATTGTTTTGAAAATTGTATAAGGGATATGAGCACACATATTCGACTTATTTTGTTAATGTTAAATGGGAACGGATCTTATAATCTCTTCAATAAAATGAGTTGGAATTGTAATTTAACTGTATTTGGACAAACGTTTCAATTTGTTATTTTCCATGAAGTAAAATTATGAAATCATATATACTAAACACTAAATGATAGTGCGGACAACATAAAGTCGAATTTTCGGAGTAGCCCGCCCTTTTCAGGGCATTCAAGGGACAGACAAAGACTAATGATACTTTAGTACATTGAAAAAAATAATTTAAAATATTAAAAAAGAACATCGCGTTTTTGGCAAAACAATATTAGTATGTTAACTACGGGCACTGCGGGTGAATCCCAGGAATTTCTATGAAAATGTGGACGAGTAGTCAAAAAGGCCCAGCTTGTTAAAAAGCCGTATCGTCCGCGGTAAAAATACAAGTCAAAAATTAAAAAGTGGATATCAAATAGTATTCAAAAATTGTAAAAGTTGGGATTAACATAAATATTGTTTACATTTGATGGTCAGTGGTAAAATACTAGTCGAACGAAATAACAAAATGATAAGAGAATAAAGATACAACTTCGTCCCTTAAGTCAGCCAATGCAGCATAGAGTCACGTGATGTTGAAACGACCGGCAAGTATATATACTCAATAATGCGTTTTATACAGATAGCATACATATAAACAACAATATGGAAAATATTGTGACTGTATATGTATAGAAATGTATTTTGCAGTCATTATCAATGAATAACTTAACACTTATGGATAACCCTATCGTTGAAATTGAAATTGAGGAACATTAAGGAAAAAAATACGTTTAGCACTGATATGTCATCATATATACTTTAAGTTGTTCATATGAATTTTATCCATCAGATGTTTTATTGTGGAGCACTTCATGCAGTGTTTCATTTACTAAAAAGATTTGTATAAATTAGTCAACCCAAACAAATATACATAACGATGATGACCTCATCAACGTAGATAACTCGCTCCTGATACGCTGTTAAGACGAATTGTTTCAACTACTAACGTTGTTTTTCATAATTGCGTGTGGCCAACACTTCGAATACAAAAATGAATGGGTAAAACGGAGGCCAAATTAATAATAGCATAGTATTGTTATTCGGAAATGTACGCAATAGACAGACAGACAGATTATTTTATTTTACAAATGCTACAATGACGTCTGGATTATCCCCCTTCTCCCTGGATTATCCCCCTTCTCCCTGGATTATCCCCATTCTCCCTGGATTATCCCCCTTCTCCCTAGATTATCCCCATTCTCACTGGTAACTTTCTTCTTATTTGCTCAATAGTTCAATGTTTTGATTTATGATGCAATTGAAACTCGTCATGTCAAAAGATGCAATTCTGATAAAACTAATTGCCCTTTATGTAAAGTCTTTTCAGTTGTTTCTAGTTTTTTTTTATATCTGCCAATCTAAAGACTTAAGCAATATTAGTTGTAACACAATAATAGGAATCTACCAGAGTTGTTTCTAAAAAGTAGTAAGCTTTTTCCCGGAAACATAAATGCCAAACGAAATTCCAGAGGATGAGATTATTAAAAGTTGTTAGAAAACGACTTAATAAAATACCATGTTTATTTACTCTTGGTACATCTAAATACAATTATACGTGTATTTGTATTTCAAGATCAATTGATACCGACTTAATTAAGAAGCAATTTTAAATAGTTAAAAGCCCCTGTTGTTATAAGTTTGTTATGATTGTGTCTTAAAGGACAAAGATGAACTTCCACAACAGAAGGACGGCCGCGTTGGATCAGCGCGTTCCTGTAATGGTTTAGAAACACATCGACCAGACAAGGTACCCGAGATAGACCCAAAAACAAAAAGGAAATCATTTTGGCGTTCATTTAAAGGATTATTTTGAATGATGGAATAAAGCAGCAGATGGATGTGTAAATTTTATTAAATCAGTCTGCGACGCAATGCTACCATCCTATATATCGCTGACTCAGATGAAATTAGACTATTGGCGTTTCAGGATAGTAACTACACTGTCAGCAACAGATACTCTTCCTGGATGACGTTTGATCATTTGTAGATATTTTATTACTCTTTACGTTACACATATATATCTTTGCATCATGCTTCAAATGACATTATTATTTTCGCCGGTAAATGTGATAACAATTTATCTCACATGGAATGAATTTATTAAGTGAAATTGCAGTTCAGTAGCATAGACTAATTTATTCTTGTATTAGAATACTACAACGTTTCAACAGTACCGGCATATCAATATAACGTTTCAACAGTACCGGCACATCAATATAACGTTATAACAGTACCGGCACATCAATATAACGTTTCAACAGTACCGGCACATCAATATAACGTTTAATTGACAGGCAGTGTACACCTATGCAGGTAGCAGTGCTCATGCATGCCCTGATGTTTTTGTTCCTGATTGAACTTGTTTAATAGAATTGGATATCATGGCATATTATCATGTATGATACATTAAGATAGACACTAAAAGGAGCATTTAAAATTAATGATGACAAAAATAAATGTACTAATCACAGTAAATACGCGAAACATTCAACTTATTGATATGTTAAAGAATTGTTCTGTCCTATGATACCTGGTGTTGTAAAAACATTGTTGTCGTCACTGCAGTTGTTGTTTCAATGTAAAAGTGGACTCCCTGTTACCTGCTACAGCCATGACAATGTGGCAACCACTAACTTTTTTCAATGTTATATTATGAAATGAAAAAAGGTTTTTAAGTCTTTTTTTCTTTTTTACAGCACTGTATTTATCATATGTTATCTTTTTCTTCTACTGCCATATTATCATATTATATTGATTATAAAATACATGTTCCAAACTTGTGTTAACGCCTTTTTACCTATGGTATACTCGCATATATGTATATTATAAAAGCAAGTATATAAATTATTTTGAAAAATATCTCGTCTATCTTTTGCACAATAATTGTAAAAAAAACTCATATAGTTAATGACAATTTGTTATTTGATACGTTGTCAAGAATACGGATCATAGAGCTTACTGATGTTATGTGGTCATAAAAACACGATACGGAACTACTCAAATCATGGTATGTTTTGATATCCACCAACATACGTTTGACTTTTGTTGAGGGTGCTATGTCTCATCGTAGTGCGAGTGATAAGACTGTACCTGAGCGCCGACAGTGTTTTTTCACGCTCAGACAACACTATTTAGTTGTTATACATTTAGGCACATTCAAAGTTCTACGAGTTGTCGTTCTTTCCTTGTGTCAAAAGAGATTTATTTCATTGATTTTGTTAATGAGTACATTATTTTTCATTGTTACCTACTATTTAACATTATGTTTCTATTTGAAAAACTTTTGATTCTTTATTGTTCAACATGTTTTAAATTGAAAGGAATACGTCAGTATATGCTCTAAATTGGTTCAAAAGTATATATGTATTACTGAATGTTAGGAAACAATTTATTAATGTAGAAAATAATTTACCGTGGACTTCTTTGTTACTTTTAAATGACCAGTTAACAGTCACACTTGTATGATATGTAAATATAAAATATATTTTTGCCATTTTGTTGACAAAAGAGTTAAACGCTGTTGCATTTATTCTCACCAACAAGTGAAAGTTAATATTTGGAACTATGTAATCACACATTTGTCCATTATGTTTTTTAATCGATGACAAAATGACCAAAAAGTTTATTTTAAATCTTTATTGTTACCATTGAGTCATCTTATTTTTTTAAAGTTAAAACTCAAACACAAGGTTGTTATACTGATACTATTTTAATGTCATTATTGCATTTTAACGTTTGATCATGCATACGCGTCCATTAAGTGTATATCCTCCCTCCGACACCAAAACATTAGGTATGTACTCAATGTTCGCTCCTGACAACATTCCTGTTGTTGTTCATCAAATTACAAAGCTTCCATATATATTATCATTATTGCACATGGTTCAAAAGGCGGCTTACTGTTTCATACAACTAGTGATTCGAATCCGTATCATTGGCGCTTCATCATCAACTATCAGTCGTTCTACTGGGGAGGGAGGGCAAACAGGAACATCATAGCTAGACAAATCCACCACATCTGGTAAATGGGAACTCTCTTCACTCTTAGTGTACATTCCTAAGTCCGATTTGGCTCTTATATTTGCAGGATTTACAACCTCCGGAAATCTGTTCTTCACGCCAGTCGCTGTCTTTGGTTTTTGGTAGTCGGTCACGTACGTTTGACGATAATGACGAGTCGATGCTGATCGCTCGACCATTATACGACCTAAAACGGTAAATTATTACGTACAAATCCATGTCTTGTTTAGAACATGTCATTATATATGTATGAACATATAGATTTAATTATTGACTTTCATATTTCTAAAGAGGGATAATTATAATTATCAGTCAATTGCTTAAGATAGAACCATTTTTTCTAATCAATATTTGTTTTCGAATTAGAGTTCATGATGTAAACTGTTCTTACTACGAAAATCTTATTATTGCGTTGATTCAAAGTTTAGCATGTCCCCAATATGAATATCTTTTTAATAACATAAATCAAAGGACAATGTTCATCCGTTTATATCTCTCATGAAAACCTGCGAAACATTTCAATCTCCCTCAGTTATAATTTAACACATTTCAAAACGAAAATTTCTTATCAAGTTTGGTGGTTTCATAGCCCTTGTATGGGAGATTCTTCATTTTTAATAGAAAAGTGGAGGAATACTTATATAGTATATAATAATACAGCCTAATAGTTATAAGAGTGAAAACCAGCCCAAAATGACAAATTATTTTTAATCCAAGATTAAAAAAAAAGTTGCTAAAAGGTTGCTTAACAAATGTACAGGAACTGTACACTGTACGACAAAACTGAATCAATCGACGTGTTTGTTTAGTTTATATTGATAAACGTATCACATAGCATACAAAGCAAGTGACAAGTATAAAAGGGTTACTATGTACACATTATAATAGGAAAGCAACAGATAAATCACCAAAATCCGATGAAGAGATGCAGAAGACGAAGCGAACAGAGCAGCAGTAACTAGAAAACTTATATCTAGCAGGAGATTATAGCTTACGCTTACATGTGGTCACTACGTATTTGGAACACAAGTAATTTCATTTAACGTAAATAACAGCTTTCAATTACTCACAGGAACAACACGTTTGTACGTATTTGAATTTAATTGGTGTGATACAGTTAAAATGACAACATCCTAGTTTAAAATCGTACTCTTATCACAAAAGAACATTACAGTTTCATAATGTTTTTTTTATAAACAACCTTTAAAATAAAATATTATTATGCTTAATTAAACAAACTTTTAAATCGCATAATTGATAAAAACAGTTACTTAGAATGTATAGATAAAACGGACAGCAAGTGGCTAGCTTATGTGATGTTTTTTTTCAGATAGCAGTTATAGACACGCGTTAAACAAAAATGTGCATGCATACAACAATGACGTGACTGTAAGTAACGTTACAAGTGGTAACTACATATGCAAAAGGCTGCAACCAAAAAAGCTGATAGAATCCCGATTACCAAACGCTAAAACTAATATATTTAGTTATCTAAAAAGCTATGTATTATATTTAACTATAAATTTAGGTGCACACATATAACACTAATTTAAGTGAATATAGATAAACACATAGTCATGCCATCTTCTTCTCAAAAAGCCTTTCTACAATATCTTTGGAGTGCAGAGTTTGCCTAACGGTAATTTATCTATAGATGAATAATGAAGTGAAGAAAACGCAATAGAATACAAGCGGTATACAACGTTTAATAATATCACCGATTCCCAATAATGCCTTTATATATAGTAGTAGATGATGTATTACCAGATTGTGAATATTGTTCTGTGAAAACAAATATTTTAGATAAAACATAAAAATAACGTCTGAAGAACTGTTCCACAACTGAATCACATAAATGTTATTTCAATTATTTTCACATTAATACAAGTATGACTTTCATCATAATAATATAACCATGATAAGTTTGTAAATACCTTTGCCAACGATTTGAGCGTCACCTAGAATTCGTTGATCCCTTGATGTAAGTAGCTTTTGAGATGATATAGAACTGCCGAATATTGTTTTACTCCTCGAAAGCGTAAGGGTCACACCTTTCACTAATTTAGCCTTATGTCTTTGTACGGGACCCCAAGCTTCGTCGCCGCAGGGCTCGGTCAGCACTATTGATAAACCATCTGTCTCTCTAGTATTGGGTTCTGATATAGAACGCTGTGGTGGTTTCTTTTTTCCGTTTGGATGACTTCTGCCGGGTAGTACTAATTTACCCGTTGAAGATGGTTTTGAGGTTTTGACAGGGAAAATTTTGTTTGAGTCGTCTAAAATGTCACTACAATCACTGTCTGACTGTTGCCGCACCATCGATTTCTGGGAATAAACTGTAAGATTTCTAGTCCTATTTTTGTCAGTATCCACCACAGGCAGTATTGTCTGGTCATCTGCTTTTGACTCCTTTGTTAAATCGTCGTGAACTTCAAACGATTTCTTTGAAAGGTCGTCATGTTTGCCACCCCTATCTGACCCCCACGCATACAGTTGTTCATACGTTGGGGCAGAATATGACACATTGTAGTTGGTGAATTTGCCGTTAGATCCTTCTGTTATTCCTATTCTACTTTCTGGTTTTATTGAAGCTATAATTTTCTGTCTTTGAAACAAAAAAGATTCGTTTTGTTGCCGACTAAGGGTTTTATGTCTCGTCTCTTGCAAAAATTGCACATATCTTCTGTATGAAGTGGGGTTTATCATAGGTGTGTTCAGTTCAGCGGGTAGTCTTCCCTTTTCCAGAATATGTCCACTGTTTGTGAGAGAGTCACTTTCAGACGGACACTGATGATCTCGCTTAGGGGATTCCACGGACTGTCCGACTAATTGCAGTCCACTTTCAAATCTTCCAAGCAGGAGGTTATACGTGGCAGCTATGGAGTTAACCTTCCTTTCCCCTAGAGACTCGATAACGTCAGATTCTGTAAAGTTGTATGTGTTTGTCATGTAGTGAACCACAGATTCCTGAGGAAGTGTTGGTATGACATTGGGAAGTATTGGCTGGCGGTAAATATGTTCATCATACCCTACCGATATCCAAACGTGGTGCAGCACCTCTTCAATCCTGATTCGACGCTTGTAGTCTGGTTGTAACATGCGTTTCAACAGATCTTTGCATTCTAGGTTAACGAAACCAATGTAATTGATTAATAGAATGTTAAAATGATAAAAACAAAGACAATAGCATACATTTAGTTCCATGTATGAGACATAAGTAAATGACAAACAGACACGTCATTTCTAAGGCTAAGATAACCTACATATGCTCCAATCGGGATTGATTTCGAATAACATTGTACTTTAATTAATGTCAGAAGTCACATGAATAGAAGTTCATATCTTTAACATTGTCAACCATTGTTCGCTAAACGTCACGACCAATTGTCTGTGACCTATCTTATTGTATGGCGACAAAATATGTGTACAATCAGAGTAGGATTATCAGAGTCATGCTGAGCTTGGTAAGTATCAGGGAGAAATAAAAACCATTTGAATAATTAATGTTTTGATGAAGAATCACGTACAAATAAGAAAACATTTATGTTAGTTGTTGTTCTATTATCTTTTATATCTTAGGGACATTATAATACAATATCAGCAAGATAGAAGGTGTAGTCTGGTTCCAATATCTGTTTGCATTATAACCATACTTTTGTTAAAGCAAAACGTGGAACAAAGTAATGTATTATAAGTTATAAGTTTGTGACATGTTCATCAACATTCTTACTTACCTATTGAGAGTTCTTCTGGGACGGAGCACCCTTTAAGAATTAACGCGTGAAGTTGGGCCAGATTGTTAGCTGGTTGTGGTACGAATGGCAAAGTGCCGATCAGCATTGCATACATACATACTCCGCTACAATGAAGAAGATTGTCACAGTCAGTTATAAATTATAACGTTAGGACGAACACCCGGCAAAACATATCTTCAAATTGACATATTATACAAATTCAAAATATAATCGACAATCACTAAATAACCAGAATCACAGTGTAGGTTTGAATGTACATTATCGTATTCTACTAACTGACAATAGGGGTTAATTTAAATCAGCAAGACTTCATGAATTATATGGTGAGCTAGGCGTGAAGTCAATATACTAGTTATTGATACTACATTAACGGATACAATTTACCAATTAATTTCCTTCCTGGCAAATAATAAGAAATCTTTTTAATAAATATTTTACGACATCAAACTGTTGACAGCTTTATTAAACAAATCGTACACATTTATAACAGGGAAATACTGGAGTTATACGAAAATGAGGTAACTGTTAATCATTATAAGCGACACACCTCATACACATTTGATGAAAACAATACCGTCACGTGGCATTAGAATGGACAAAGTTAGTATAAACACAATATACTTATATGTTCACATACATATCAATGTTCATGTTTGACATAATGTTATATCTAGTCATTTAAAACTAGCGCTACTTACAGACTCCAGATGTCGACACTTGATCCGTACTTCTGGTTGCTAAATATTTCCGGGGCGGCGTATGCTGGCGACCCACACTGAGTACTGAGTGATGTCTCACCGTGGAATAGGTTACTGAGGCCGAAGTCTGTCAGCAAAATATAATTATATTGTTTATTTAATTTCTTCAACATTATAATTACGAAATAAAAGAAACAATATTTGAGTGTATATATAAAGAAAGAAAAAACCACAACATGTCATTAGCGTTTTTATATCATTAAGGAGATTCTTCCTTGATGAGATAAACGCGCTAATGACATGTTGTTGAGAGGTTTTCTTTTTATATTATTTCCGATAGGATCAATGTACTACTGCTGTAATAAATATATAGTTCAATTGCATATCTTTAAGCTAACAACACAATATTATCATATCATCATGCATTCGGGGTTATTAAAGTAAAAAGAGGATATTCCACTTGAATTCAAAATCCCAGATTTTGAGATTCTCAATAATTATGTCATGTCATACAACACACCAACAATTGTTCATTCGAATGAATAGAACATTCAAGATACAAACACAATCATAATTTTTTAACGATTTTGTCTCGAACATTTATCGATAAACTTAATTAATAACGAATGATATCATCGAAACCTAAGGAGCAGCATTGTGCTTGATCCCGAGTGATTGTAATTGGCATTCTTTACACAATTCCCACAATTGATCGTTTTGTTAAGTTTTCTTTACAACAAATAATTAAACACATATTTATATAAAGTGTTTGAATCAACATATCATTAGATTGTATATATAGCTGATAGAAGAATGTTTAAATGCTTTAATTGTTTGCATTGCCAATATGTATATTAATGTACTCTCAATTACCTTTATAACTAAACATGCGCTCAACAAAACTCGGCTTATGAAATTAACATAATAGGCTTTGTCAAGTCAATAAATCGTTATCGTTATTTGTCTCAGTGGATATGATTCCTTTATGGATGGAATGGTCAAATGATTAGTCGAATGGCCTTCCGAACAGACGCCCGCTGTTAAATTACACAAATGAATGGACAAATCCATAAAAATTATCCTTCACTTTTTACCATAGAGCGTTGTTGTGTTTGCTACAAGAAGGATTATACTCCACATATTTCGTGTCTCAAAGCACGGTATTGCTATGTTAAATGAGAATATGATAAAAGTCTACTACTTCCAAAACGGAACTTAAAAGTGACAGATTGGTGCAATCATTGATTCTGGTTATGGTAATACTTCTGCAAATACGTATATCATCACAGGATGATTGTTAAATGTCATCTAATACGCTTATACAATCTTGTCATATTTTCACAAAGTGCTAATACATGTATCATCATTTTCCTGTCTTAGTTACACTAAATATATGTACATTGTTGTTTCAGCATACAGGCGGACGCATCAACATTGTAAATGCAAAACTTTTGTTTTTAAATCAATTCTTGGAAGAAGAAAAATTGACGGAAAGAACATCGATCTTAAATACAAAGGTTCTACCCACTTAGGGTTGAGAAGCTATCGAAGGTTTGGCCGATTAAAATGAGTGTTGATTCGAGGATAATTGCAATTGCAGAAACCAGCTTTACAATTAGGCAGTGGTTATTACATAACGCATACCCTATTACCCGACGAATAAAGAATTGTAATGGCGTATACTAATTACTTCAATTAAAGGCTAGGGTATCGGTTAACTTGGCATTGTGTGAGGAAGGAAGAGCGCACTTATCGACTCTGTATAAAACCTTGGCAAAGGTAGACGAGGGTTGATTCTGATCGATCAATTTTACAGACACACTAGGGCGTCAGAAAGCAATTACCAACTCGATAATTGCCATAATTTTTGAAATATAAATTGAAACAAAAGAATAACGAAATTACGTAAGTTGTTTGTGGTAATTAATTAAATATGGCCATTAACCAATGTTTGATTATACCGAAAACCATTGTTTTGAAGCTGAGCATCGTTTGAAATACGATTGCATACATGTTTTTTTCAAAACTCCGTTTTTTTTAATAGCTGGTCATAGATGTGCAAGAGTCTATGAACCACTCATCCCAATTCAGAACTGATCTGCTGTGAAGCTCAAGATGCTTATAGAATAGCCCAATCGACGGCGAATTTTCTTTGTCAGCTTGTATGTAGCAACATCTTAGTGTACACACGCTTTACCGGTCATTTATCTGATGAAGATTGGTACATTCGAATAATTCATCGAAACGTCACATATGAACAATTAACTGGTTGTGCTATATGAATCTATATACATTCAATGGCCATTTCTAATATATTCATTATTAAAAGGGAAAATATACATATACTTACCAATTATTTTGATATTCAAATCTTTGTCAAGTAAGAAGTTCTCCAGTTTCAAATCTCTGAAATTTGAACGAGAGATAACTGTACGAATGACAGAAAGTTCATAATTTTCATCGAGTCTGTTTGAACTATACTTATTTTACTGGTTTATTGTGTCTGTTACCATAATCCCGACAACAAATCGATAGCAAGTACTGATAAATAAGTATGATATCATCTGGCTGATATAGGCAATGCAAAACTGATATAATATCAAAATTAACACTAGTAATATCGCTTCACATGATAATCATCAGCAGAAAATACAATTCTGATGTAAAAATAATTGCATGATTGTATCAAAATGATCATAACTTACCGATGAACAATATTAGATCTATGCATGTGATCCACTGCTGATGTCAGTTGTCGCAAAAATCGTCTGCTCTCGAATTCAGTCAAACACTTTCTAGAATTAATTTTGAAGGAATTTTATCAATACGTATGTATAACGCCATGTAAACGTTATTCCTCTGACTGTTTAAAACTCAATAACTTACCCTCCAGCTTGTACAATGACATTGATGTTATCATAAGTTATAGTCCTAATGACATGGTTTTCAGTTAGTTGAAATTTAAAGATGGATTCCGCTAGTTTGCTATTGCGATAAAATATGAAGCGTTTTGATTGTTTAAATTGTACGTAAATGCTCCAGCTTTATGTAAAAAATAAATAAAAAAATGACTAACGTGAAAAAAGCGTCTTACTTCTTTATTAGTATTTTATTGAGTCCTTACTGTAATATTCTTTTATTGTATTTCGTAATTGTTTATGGAAGAATACCATTTTTATCTCGAGTAAAAAATATCAGTTTATTCTGTCATGCGAATAAAGTATGATAGTGTGGAGGACAAGCGAATAATATTGGTATTGTGCAATTAAAATGAAAAATGTATTACATTTAATGCTGCGTGCCATTCTGAATAGGCTTCACAATACAATTTCTGCATATATTTGGTAAGCTTACACAATGTTTACAATTGAGCATTAAATAAATAACTAAGTTTAAGAAGATGCGACGTCCTAAAACTTACACCTATGCTACAGTCACTTCATACAGAAATACAGAAACCTCCGGCTTTGATTGATCAGTCAATACCAAACGTGATATCTTCACACTGTGACAGTGACCAGTTTTTATATATATGTCACAGTGCAGTGTTTATCAAGTCGACATAATCTGATATGTTAATGTTAAAATGTAATGATTAATTGGCTATGAAATTATATTAAACACTGAATTGTTCAAAAGTTGTTGCTTCAAAAATAAGGCAGGACAACCTGATGCGATATTATAGTCCACTAATTACAATAGAGGACTTTACAAGTTACAGTTGTTCTGACTCATTTGTGCTTTGAAACCATTGATCAAGAGAGACATATCAACATTGTTGAAGAGTTAAATAAAACACATCGAACTGAAATAGACAATAGAGTATGCTTGTTCCGATACGCAGGACTTCGCATAGTGTCATTTACGATCGTAATTATAATGAAAAACGACCAAAACGGTTATTTATACACAATTTCAGTTAAAATAGTTTCGATACATACATATTGACAGAAAAAGTGTTATGTCGTGCTTACTTTGCAGATAGATATTTGACGAAGTCTCCGCCGTCAGCGTATTCCAGGACTATGTAGTATGTGTTCTCTGTTTCCATCACCTCAAACAGACGGACAATGTTGGGGTGCTGAAGTTTCTGTAGCACCACTGCCTCCCTGTGCACGTTTTTCCGAACATAATCTCTCAACAAAATGGCTTTCTTCGATACCACCTTCACCGCTACCTGTGTACCACATACAGACAAACATTTATACAGATAAATGTGTGCCAACATCACATCATACGCCAACAAATAGATAATGAAGAAAAGGAAGAAAGTTAAATGGAAAGTGTGTTAAATTATCTGTGGCGTATTGGTTACAAATAAAACCATCTAGATTTTTATGAATACACATAATATGTTCCATTAATTACCAATTGTGTTACGTTGCAATATTTCACACAGATACATATATTCCATGCAATATATAAGCCAAGTTATCTAGGATTAGTTTCATGATCCAGATTAAGTAGTGAATCATTTTGATTGTTTAGAATTGATCACATTTTAGACTTAAGCAGTTTTTACCGATAAACATATTGCATGATTAAAATTAATACTTAAAGAACAGTAATGACAATCTTTTATTAACGATATGATTAAGTTAGTATATACTATATCTATTAGATAGCCTAGTCCGAATTATTCTGACGTTTTATCGACTTTTTTCATATCGGTCTGTCGTCGATTAACGTCAGAACTCCGGCCCTCTATAATATGCGGGAAATATGCGACCCGCGCCCGGAGCGCACTTCCAACTGATATTTTAGAAACAAATCGTCATTTTCACACACATGTCGCACACGGATCGAAAGATCTATTCTTTATGCACAAGATGAACATACATAACATGCCCCAAACAACCAATACAATCACTAAAAACATATATTTTCAAACTTGCTCTGTTACTCTAGTTTTTTATAGCCCCGCCTTCTAATGCCACGTGACTAAAATCTCTTCGGTCTACGTCATATCGTTGGGAAATACCTTCGGTAACGCGGGATCTCGTCAAGTCATATGACATTGCTCATGGCCTAATTTCCATTAAAAACATGGGTTGGTATAGAAAACGTTGGAAAATACTTTTCGTAATGATCTTTGAAACATGTTATTGATATCACCTAGTGCATAAAGAATAAATCTTTCGATCCAATTGCGACATGTGTGTGAAAGTGACGATTTGTTTCTAAAATATCAGTTGGAAGTGCGCTCCGGGCGCGGGTCGCTTATTTCCCGCATTTTATAGAGGGCCGGAGTTCTGACGTTAATCGACGACAGACCGATATGAAAAAAATCGATAGAACGTCAGAATAATTCGGACTATTAGATAGCCTTGAATGGATTGTGTCAATGTTTACTCTAACGTAGGAAATATAACAAATCAGTGTATGTTCTAAACTGGTCCCCGTTTCTAGAATATTGAATCATTTAGCAAAACAATCTACTCTTATAATTTTGATCATTTGGATGTCTGATTCCCAGTTCCCAAAAAAATAAGGGGGATAAGCAAGTAGTAAAATACAGCTGGGAAATTTTTCATAAAAACATTTGGGCTGTAGCAAGTCTAGTGCATGTTCGTGCACTGACAATAATTCTCTCTGTTGCAATTACATGTCACAAGATCTCACTCAGTGTGATCGACAAATCTAACCATATGAATATTAACATGTTCATTTATCGATTAAAATTTGAATTTAAATGGGGAGTAGGTGTATACATGAACTCATAAACATGATAAGATTTTCGCTAATAAGAATATAAATGGTATATGAAAGACCAAATCGGGAACACATTTCTGATTTCTTTACCGGTTTTACGCAATTCAAATCATAGTACACCAACTTCACCAGTAAAGACCATGTAATATGGCTTATTAATCGTTTAAATGTATGCTTGCTTTTTTTTGTCGTAATTGATATCAAATTGATTCAATGTGCATTTTGTAATCGATAACCATTTGAGTAGATTCAATAATGATATGCCAATCATAATGAAATATACAGAAATGTTAATCTGAAGCTATCTTACTGATTTTGAAATTAATTTAAATGTTTTTTTCTCTCAAATCTATGGATGATGATATCATTTAAGTATATTGAAAAACATTGTTATTAATCCCCAGCTATAACATTGCATACACGTATCACTTACATGTATGTTGTAGCCGAGGTACCAATGTCAATGTATGTGAATGGGTGCGATGTAACGGTTCATTAGTGTCAACACAGTACAAAAGAACCTATTTATAGACGTATGTGACAGATCAAAGATACCTGTCCATGTCTGTACAAAGCAGACATATACCTGTACGACTTAACATTGTTTATCTACAAACCCGAAACCCAGTGGTTATCATATTATTTCCTTAAGAAAATATCCTCTGCCTGCGTGTTACAAATTATTTATTTCTCACTTATCCAAAATAATCAGATAATCAAATTTACTCGTTATGCATGGAGTTGACATATATATAAACATATATATATATATATATATATATATGGTAAGGGTCAAAGAAGTAATATAGACGGTAAAATCCCATATAACACTGGTATATATTTTCAATTATTCTCTAAATAAAATGAACAACATTTCGGATTTTATAAGTTCACTTCACAAAAACATAAATAGTGGGTACAGGTACACAAAATACGGCTACTGACAGTTAAACCAAAACGAATGTTGGCAATTGTTGGCTTAATGACATCTTATAACAGCAGTTGTTAGGTAGGTTCAAACACACGCTAAAACTTAATACTTGTTAAAGAATTGTTGTTAAAATTATTTTACATAATTTCATGGTTAAAATGTCAAATGACTTATTCTAGCATAATATGTGATTTGATATATTAAAGTTATTTAAAATACTCAGTAAATCATGTTGATAACCAACAGATTTCAGATTTGAAGAACGTGTGAGTTTGATAATAAGAGAAAAGCATGTTATGGTGACATTTGGAAGTGAACGCAGTATATAATGATCTGTTGATAGTTACTGTCACGTTACCAAGTGGTCACGATATCAAAGGAAGGAATAACGATATAATGGGGAGACATGCCATTGTTAATCAACGTAGTTATTGCAGTGGATTAGGGACGAAAGTGGTCGTTGTGTATCTAACGTACTGTTCGAGGGAACACATTAAAGTAAAAAGAACGTTCCGACACAGTGGTCAGAACTAACAATAAAGGTCAAGATGGAAAAGCTTATTAACTTATAGTTTGTGTAAATATAGTGAGCAGGATGTCCAAATAGTGTTGGCGCATGTACACACCCGTCTAGATGAAGAGACATTATCATATAGTGTAATGATCAATCTATACCTGGGCTTCTGTGGAGTGTATACCACAGGACAAGTTGAGTAGAAGTATATGTAAATGCCGAATGCTGTTTATAAAGAACTCAACGAACGCAATTTAAAGCTTATTCTAAACAACTGGCAATGGTGGAGAATGGTATGACTTGAACATTACTCATTTTGTAATGAAATGAAGTGTTTAATATGTGCATTTATATGCGTCTAAATATTTTCCCTCTGAACTACTATTCATAATGCGATAAATATTAAGTATCCCTTATTAAATGTTCCTATACGAAACTGTATAGTTCCGTGATAAAACCAATAACAAATCACACAATAATCAATAACATATCCAATTTAAGAATTTGCAGATTAAATTTCTATTACATACGTCTTCCACTCAACACCACATTAGAATGCATGCACGTGCATTAAAAACATCCTTATTACCGTAGTTTTGTCAATTATTTTCCGTCATAGTAATCAAATAATGAATACTGAATTGGCGTGATCTAGGGTTTTATAGTGACATTCGTATTTAGATGTGTACCTTTCATTGCCGAATTACATAAGTTTCAGACATATTCTGAAAAGTAAACGATTATAGGTGTATACTTCAGTGACGTATGGTAAGGTGAAGCCTCACCAAAGATACCTACCTTGTCTCTAGCCAGGACATGGAAGCCCTGGCGAACCTTAGCAAAGGAACCTTCTCCAATTGTTCGTCCAAGAATGTAATTTCCAACCTTCTTCTTTTTGTCGAATGGAACATAATTATCCGTAAATTGCCTCTCAAATTTATCCATGACATGCAACATGTTGTGGCCGTATGCTTTCGGCAGTACATTCCATGATGAGCCTATTATCTAGGTACCAAAGTTTGTTTTGTTTTATCTAGTCCATTGTGATAATCCTATTTTAAGGTGTGCACAGTCCAGCAGGTATCATTCACGGGTAAGGTAGTTTTGTATACAACACTTTGTCCAAATTGGGTGTGCGTTAGCCGTGCGAATGAATAGCATTGTTTTTGTTTGTAATACTCAGCATTGACAATTCAGGAACACTCTAAAAAATGTACTATGATTACTGAACGGTCATGTTTGTGGGGCAAACTGCATGTTGATACACAGGGACACACAGTGTGTCATAGTTTTAACAGCTAGATCCCGTTAACATCAAAGTCTCGGTTCCAGCAATGATGAAGTAGGAAATTTAATAGATATGTATTTCTAAGGTATACATGTATAGGTATTTATTTTCTGACTACTCTCCTCCGGTCTTTACCGTATATTCCAAAACGCACAAAGCCCTATATCACAGCTTTTAACGGATATTCAAACGATATAATGAGCTTGTACTCAAGCGTGTAGAATCTGGCAACACTTTCTGTGAATCGATAAACGGCATTGACTGTTGTATTATGATATTTTCATCACATACCGCAATGCGATTGTTTAGTCATTAACTGCGTTTAAATAACTGAAACCTGAGGTTATAACATCAAAGATCTAAGGCATCCATTACTGTAACAAGGAAAGAGCGCGACAAGTCATTTATCAAAGCCTGGGCCAGCCACTTTTACCCATAGATAACATATCGTCAATATATAAATACCTCATTAATTCAAAGGCACGCTGTTTAGTCCACAAGAAAACATCATTAGAAATATATGCACGCTTGATGTCAATAGTACATGTATGATAAGGTGAAATATCTTTACATCCTTCCGGTAGGATTGTTCATATTTTGACCTTTGATATAGAAGTGAAAAGCCTGGCGTTAAACATGGATATGTGAAAGGTTGGAGACCACTATATTAGCGAAACACTGTAATATGATAAAGACGTCCTCAATACTGTATGCGTATGCTTCTGTTGGCCAACGATTAGAGCTTGGAGAATCAATGGTTTGTAATACGGTATCGTGCAGAAAAATCTCGGCGAAATAAATACACCTGGCAAAGTTCACATCAAATCACTTCGTTCAATACGTCTTCGTCGGACATTATGTTACATAATGTGAGACCTCCAACCAGGTAAGCCAGCCTAGGAGGGAGTCAATGATGTCTAAAAGTCAAACGTCCCAGATCAATTACCTTTGCTTTCCATAATCTTAACAATCCTGCTGGAGAAATCTGGTAAGGCAGTTGTAGCAATACTGGTCTTCTATCAGAAATCCTTTCTACTTATCACGACAAGCTGTCTAGAGCGACGATAGAACCAGGTGAATGACACTTCGACATAAGGACATAATGATGTTGCTTCTACAGCGCCGTTACCTTTAACTCTCTCATAACGATTGAAACACCTGCACTTCGGCTGATGGAATAGGTATCCATTGGTGGTCTTCTGAATATTTTAACCTATAGATAATTGAAATAAATTAAATAATATCCTTTACATGTATTCAGAAATTTTTCGCCATGTAGCCTAAATACTTGGTTGAAGTTACTCTGCAGACTGACTCGTATGTTACACCTAGAGGTAATTTTCGTTTTAATCTGAAACGGTCTCATGCATGCATAAAACACGATACTAAGCCTTATCAGGCGTGTGAAGCTCGATCGCTGTAAAACTATTGACCTCTAGACGAGGTGGTATTCTACTACGACAAATAAATTAATAGACGTCTTTTCAGCAAACTTCAATGGGGTGTATTGTATGTTTGTTATTGAGATTAAAGACGACATATAATTAACAATGGTCATTCTGTGTCTCAAATGCTTGATAAATTAAATACTATCCTTGCTAAAAGACCACTATATTTTTAATATAAACAAGACCCTATTAACGGGTTCAAGTATAGGATTTTCAAACTATATTAACATACTTAATTCTCAATATATTGAATGTCATAATTCGAAATCCGATATCTTGGAAATGTTATTACGGTAGAGACTATGGTATTGAAGGCTACAAGTAACTCCGGTGGACAGTGTCTATCGGCCACGTCCCGGTGATGACAAAACACCTATCCTATGAACCTTTGAGACTGAATGACATGTGACACCGATTGGGTTTGATTGATTAACACACATACCGCCACACCAATTAGTCCTATACTAATACTTCATTGCTATCTAATTGTTAGTCAAATAACGAGACACGTGTTTATTGATTTATGCATGTTTTTATTTTATATGATTTTTGTATTATCATTCGATTGTTTAATAACATTAACTTAAGCGTCTCATACCAACTATGAAATGCCGTAATCTATGTATTTACATGTTTGAACGAATGAAGATACGTTAGCTAATCAACGTTTATACTTACCAATAACTGGGTTTTTTAAGATTAAGAAATGATGTTAATTTCTTAATCTACAGCAGCAGTATCATGATTTGAGGATTCCAATTGATAATGTATTGATGGATATGGTTAACTGACAATGTATATCCTGGTAATATAAATATTGTGCCATACTATGTAACTCTACAAATAACCTTGGTGTATGAAATATAATGATAGAGACAGTTGATGTCATGCAACCAACTTCCCGGTCTACGTGTATCTAATGTGCCTATATGACAAGTATAATGTAGCTTGATAATTGCAATTGAACTACAATGGAACTAGCTACCAGGATCCAGGGTCGTGTGGTGATGGAATGTGCTAAGTGTATAAACATGCCCTACCCTTTTTCTGGCNTTAAGATTAAGAAATGATGTTAATTTCTTAATCTACAGCAGCAGTAGGGGGGAGGGGTATCCCCTCCACCACACTCCATCCCTCCCTACCGGTGCTTTGCTTCGGGTTCTTTACGAGGGGGCATCGATCTAAGAACATTGAATCTTCATACTATAGAAAGCCTCACAGTAAAACTGCTGCATTTTAATAAAAATAAACTTCTTTTTCGTCGTCACCTTAAATCATAATGTCGTTTTACATGGTACCGGGGGTATGTCAGGTTTTGCTCCATCAATCATTGCCTTTGTTCAAATTATTGGTGACATTTGAAAGAAATCAACATTAAACACAGAACGTGATTATTGGTACCTAAGTGTGAAAGGAATAACACTGTATGGAGGAAGCCTAAAACGCCAACCATTATTCATGTTATTTGATTAAGGAATAACACAAAGGCCTTTAAACATCATAAAGATGGACAGACTTTGAACTGGTGTTTCATTACAGATCAAACAACCAACGGTATGCTTACTTAATCTGTACAAAATAGCTGTTGTTGAGCCAAAATAACACATATCTTCCATAGTTTGATTTCAAACTGCTTTTATCATCCTATAAAATTTAAGTAAGCCTCAAAATGTGTTTATTTTATATATGTATGATATACGTGTAGTTATGTTTTACTGATAAGGTATCAACTATTTACACCAAGCTAGTTTTCAGTCAGGTACAAATAATCAGTTTAGATTAGTATTGTTACCTGAAGATGTATTTGTATAACAAACGAATCAGCCCCATGTTCCTACTTCCAGACTCATACAAGGCGGTTTGGCTTTTCGCGAGTAAATGGTATAATAAAACCGGTCTTTATCAAAAATCACATATACAAACAGGCCCACTACCGACAAACAAGTTCGGTATAAAATGACTTCCAGTGTGCAGATTCGTATTAGTATGACTTAAAAGTATTTGAAATTCTTATTTTTACAAATCGGTTTCTTGAATATATATTCATAAAAAAATGCATATAAAATTTATATATATGTGATAGTGTTTAAAATATACAGATTCTAGAAGACATTGGTTTCATTTCTTTATCGAACAAAATGTAACGCTGTGTAAGCTCCTGTAATTAATCATCTGTTCCTATCGTTAAGTAATCAAAAGGGTGTATTGAAAAACAAATGCCATAGCTACAGAAATTTTTATTCTGTATTCTGTACCGTAGTTGCCCTAACGAGAACTGATTAGCTCCAATGGATTTTTCAAACTACCTGTTCTGTCAATAATCTAATAAAAAGACAAACAATTATAAGGTAAAACATGTTATGACGTCTGAGGTTTTGTAATGTTTGTTAAACAGAATGCATAAACACGTTAAAGATATATTGCTTTTGTGCTATGCATAAATCAAATATTACATGTATTCTTCTCCAAACAAGCTGTAACATGTATTCCTAAGGAGTGATGCACTAACTCAGCTGTAACAATATATGCCTAAGGATTAATGCACTAAGCTGTAACAACATATGATTAAGAAGTGATGCTCTAACCCAGCTGTAACAATATATGATTAAGTAGTGATGATCTAACCAAGCAATAACAACATATGATTAAGTAGTTATGATCTAACCAAGCTGTAACAACATATGATTAAGTAGTGATGATCTAACCAAGCTGTAACAATATATGATTAAGTAGTGATGATCTAACCACGCTGTAACAACATATGATTAAGTAGTGATGCTCTAACCACGCTGTAACCAAGCTGTAACACCATATGATTAAGTAGGGATGATCTAACCAAGCTGTGACAACATATGATTAAGAAGTGACGCTCTAACCACGCTGCAACAACATATGCTTAAGTAGTGATGATCTAACTAAGCTGTTACAACATATGATTAAGAAGTGACGCTCTAACCACGCTGTAACAAAGCTTTAACAACATATGATTAGGTAGTTATGATCTAACCAAGCAATACCAACATATGATTAAGAAGTGATGCTCTAACCACGCTGTAACCAAGCTGTAACGACATATGATTAAGTAGGGATGATCTAACCAAGCTGTGACAACATATGATTAAGAAGTGATGCTCTAACCACGCTGTAACCAAGCTGTAACACCATATGATTAAGTAGTTATGATCTAACCAATCTGTAACAACATATGGTCCAGGAGTCATGCTCTAACCATCCGGTAACAACATATGCTTAAGTAGTGATGCTCTAACCAAGCTGTAACAATATATGATTAAGCAGTGATGCTCTAACCAAGCTGTAACAACATACGATTAAGTAGTGATGGAGTCATGCTCTAACCATCCGGTAACAACATATGCTGATGATCTAACTAAGCTGTAACAACATATGATTAAGTAGTGATGCTCTAACTAAGCTGTAACAATATATGATTAAGTAGTGATGCTCTAACCACGCTGTAACAAAGCTTTAACAACATATGATTAAGTAGTGATGTTCTAACCAAGCTGTAACAACATATGCTTAAGTAGTGATGATCTAACTAAGCTGTTACAATATATGATTAAGTAGTGATGCTCTAAACAAGTTGTAACAACATATGATTAAGTAGTGATGATCTAACTAAGCTGTTACAATATATGATTAAGTAGTGATGCTCTAACCCAGCTGTAACAACATATGATTAAGTAGTGATGATCTAACTACGCTGTAACAATATATGATTAAGTAGTGATGATCTAACTAAGCTGTAACAATATATGCTTAAGTAGTGATGCTCTAACCACGCTGTAACAACATATGATTAAGTAGTGATGATCTAACTAAGCTGTTACAATATATGATTAAGTAGTGATGCTCTGACCACGCTGTAACAACATATGCTTAAGTAGTGATGATGTAACTAAGCTGTAACAATATATGATTAAGTAGTGATGCTCTAAACAAGTTGTAACAACATATGATTAAGTCGTGATGATCTAACTAAGCTGTAACAATATATGCTTAAGTAGTGATGCTCTAACCACGCTGTAACAACATATGCTTAAGTAGTGATGATCTAAATAAGCTGTAACAACATGTGATAAAGTAGTGATGCTCTAACCCAGCTGTAACAACATATGATTAAGTAGTGACGATCTAACTAAGCTGTAACAATATATGCTTAAGTAGTGATGCTCTAACCACGCTGTAACAACATATGATTAAGTAGTGATGATCTAACCAAGCTGTAACAATATATGATAAAGCAGTGATGCTCTAACCAAGCTGTAACAATATATGATTAAGTAGTGATGCACTAACCAAGCTGTAACAACATATGCCTAAGGAGTGATGTTCTAACCAGTTTCCAAAAAGCAAATAATATGAAGTTACCGAATATAAGAAAATGAAAGGCAAGTTGATGCATTTTATACATAAAGATGCTATTGCTGTTTGACTAACGTTAGAAAATTGGATGAAATCGCTAGAAAGTGCTCTCGCATTGTCTTTACTCTAATTAAGGTACAGGAAAATTGACATCAATTTCACTAGAATCGGTAACAGACTACTGATAGCAAGCTGTTTCTGAATTAGGAACAGGCTATTTGCTGAAAAGCGAATACAACTCGCATTACAGAATAAGAGAGAAAAAAAACAATGATAGCTTTATTTTTGTTGTTTTAATATATTTGAATATATTTACTTGAGCTCGTGTGAATTATCGCAGAAATAAAATAAAAATTGAAATTGAAGTAATAAACGTTATCAAATAAACGAATCATAATATTTAGATAAATTAAAACTGCTAGAAAATGTTATCAGTAGATACATACCTCTTCATATCAGGCCCGCACTCTAATGGAGAGTTAAACTGTCGATGATGATCACCTGTCGTACATACGCGTCTCTATCGCGAGGCTTGTCTCGTATCGGTCTCAACTCATGGCGCCTTTTATCTTTTGTCTCTGCTTTGTTCTATCAACTGCCTAATCGAGTCAGAGCTTTCGATCAATAGGGACACAGTCATGAGTGGGAACTAAAGCTGTTCATGTATTGACAGAATAGTGATTTCACAAGGTAGATGTGTCTCCTATACAATTTAACATAGGCCATTTGAAAGAGATGCAGATGTTTTATTCATATTTCTATTTCCTAAAGAGTTAAACTTGTCAATATGCACATGCTGTCAATCGCCGTACTTATCCCATGTGACACGAAATTCCATAAAGTTTGATATTTGCTTTTAATAAATTCCCTGAGATCATATATTCTGTCATATTGTTCTTGATTAAATGGAGTGTGTCAATTTCGAAATATGCATTAGCTTACTAAAAATATCTAACAAGAACCTTAATAGTAAGATATGTTCTAGGCTGTTACATTGTTGTGCTCATTGTAAACATAACTGTCAACAATGCTCACATTCAGTTTAACCTTGTACATGTATACATGTACACCGAACGTAAGTCGGTATATAGACCAAGGCCTAATGAATGTGAAGCTTTATTCCGTTTTCCTTGTCATTTTCAATGAAGCAGACAATACATTATTAGGCCAGTAACAATATGGTTCAGACCTCTGCTAAATAGAAGTGTCCTATTCGTAGAAGACAACATTACACATTTCTGTTTATCATTTTATGCAGATAAATGTTCAAGGTGTAAATGAAACCCACAGTCATAACGTGTATTAGCTATCAATAACGGATTTGGTAGTGTGGTATTGGCAAGCGACAAAGATATCAGTTTTTAAAATAAGATTGAAAACCATCCGAAAACCAATATTTTCGATTAAGATATCTGAAATATTTGAGAAAATGTTTAGGATTCCGTGCAAGGTAGCAACTTGCTTAGTTAGCACTTATATCGATTTGACGTGTATCATGTTTATTGACAAAATGTATACATACATGGCTTGGCTTAAAAATCCACAGATAATTATTGGCAGATGTGTCCCAACCAGACAAGATAAAGAATAATAATATCTGTTTAGCGTTGTCTGTGTGGCGATACCTCTGTTCGCTTGTCATATACGTCTTTTTATTTCAGATGTTAAATATTATTCAATAAAAACTTATCTACAAAACAAAAGACATCAATCATTATATTCACGGGAGGTAATAAACCTTTCTATTTCTTATACTTCTCCACATTCCTTTCCAAAATAAATATCTTACGCATGCAAGCGACATAGAAATGTGGTCTTTCAAACGCAATACACATGAATGGTCAAAGAAAGTACTATCAAGCCTTTGTGAGTGTCGGCCTATTTGGGATGATTACAATGGTCCTAATACCAGTATCTTACAACTCGTTACATTTAAGTATGCCAGAACACAATGAATGGGAAAATAAGCAATTGATGTGACATACTTGACTGAAAGAAAAGTATTAATAAGATAAGTGTGCTCTTTGTGTTTATTGCTGACATGGTTGCTTAGAATAAAAATGATTAGGGTATTTAGTTATTGAAAATCAGTGTGACTAGAAAATTAATGGCGGGTGTTATTTTATATTAAATACAGTTATCCTGTTCGATATTCTATCAACTTGACGTGTCAACCAAAGCCGATGAATTTCAAAACGTCATACTGGTAGCTATTGTCGATTTCAATGTGTTAAAGTGAATATTAACCTGTATTTTGGATAACTGCAATTAGTATCACAGTCTCAAATCGATCTGTTATGTTGATGTACGAAGCTCAATACCGCTAATGTCTATATGATACTATTTCTCTATACAATAAATAAAGAGGAAAAAAAACTGGTGTTTGAAGGTTGTTTTAAATGAGGTTAGTAGGTTATATAAATGAATGGGTTATTTCAATTGTTATGAAGTTAAGTTTAGTTCCATTGGTGTAGGTAGGCTATCTTTCTTAATTAAGTAGGTAGTTTAAATTATACCATTGGGTTACATTTTACCGATTTCACAATTATTTCACCACAACAACACCGAATAGATCTGCGTTGTTCAAAATGATAACGAGAGTTGTATACCGTAACTGAAAATTTGCTATCATTGAAGTAGGGAAACACGATTCTTTGTTACCCCTCTATTAAGAATATTCCACTCAGGCTTCGCCCTAATGGACATGATTTATCTCGAGGAAATAAAGTAACATGCTTCCCTACTACAGATATAGCACAATAGCATTATACTAAAGCTGACCAGAGTTTCGCGTCCTCGTCGTTATCTACTTTAGTTACTCGGAACTCAGGAACAGTTCCATGCTGTAGCTGATTTTTTTCTAGAGAGACACCAAATAATTGAATTATGACCAGGAAAACTCGAGCGCTTAAGGGAAACGATGTTTTATTACCCCCGTCATGTGATCAATATAACCCAATCAGAATCGCTGTTACATGTATATAGATGATGTAAAAACGATATGACTTGATAAGCTGTTGAGTTAAAAGTGGACAAATCTTTGTGGTATTTCTCTTGTTAAAACTCATAAAACTTATATTGATATGTAAATACATCTACTTTTATCTGAAACAGGTACGCATGATTCCATGGTCATTTTTTGTGTTTCAATACGATTTTGTGTTCGTCATCACTAATGGATGACTTGTAATCAGCATCTTAGATCGTTGGGAATCGACATGCCATCCTGCATCAGAAAACACAAATCATGACGAGTGTCGTATACGGATCACCTTGTTTCTCATCCGGATATTTTTGTGAGTGTTACTGTATTATAATATTTCCTATTGTTTGGACGTCTTCTAGCTTTTTTATTTTGATTTCATATCGCCGCCCTTTATGTTGTTGTTGTGTAGTGTCTTTTCTATTACGTTTAGATAACAACGACAACCGATTACAACGTTTGTATAAACCGATACATGTATCTCTAAATATTTTCTACATGACTGTATATGTGAGCAGGTTGTCTAATATCAACCATTCGACGCGCTGTTGTCGCGCACAAGTTTGTCTTAATGCATTAAAAACATATGGTATGATTAAAAATAAAAAAAATAAGGACGCTGTACATCTGTGTGTTGACTACATAGTTTGTCAATATCAGACGAGTTGTTTCCCTTTTAAAGATTTACATCACAAAGTATTGTTTCAGATCTGATCCTAATTGTTTCAGGCCTTATTAAATAAACTATAAATAAAAGAAACTTTCATCTTAAATAGATTTCGAAAATATTGTTAATTAAATCACCTGAAGGGAGGTAACCCAAAACTATTTGTATTATGATTGGTGAAGCTGCAATTAGGCATAGAAATGTGTATATGTAAATACATATATACATATGACACTTATATGAATTGTAACAGCCGAGTAAGAAGTAACATGGACGCCTGTTATTGTGAGCTCAAACAATTGGTACGTATAAAGGTCATACGATGTCTTGCATTACAATTATACAAAAGCATTATATTTGTTGATGTCAAATAAATTGAAACACTTTCTTTGTAGTGAGTAATGCGACGAGGAAAAATGTACAATGAGAAAATGTATGTGACAAACTCAATGTCAGCATATAGGTGTTACCTGTCATTGTCGTCCTGACAACAAAAGACAGTATCTTGGTGATGAAGAACTGTTAGCTTACCTAAATATAAAACTATGGTTTTAAGTCTTATCTTATTTTTGTTTCAAAACTTGACGTGGATTTTCTTATACTAATTAGGTTTATATAAGTTAAATCGTCGCACTTGCACACATGGTATCGACAATCTTCCTTTAGGTGAAGTTCAAGGTTTGAGATTAGATAACAAGACAAAAAGCTTGGACGTATAAGGAAGCTATCAATACCTAACACAAAATGACACATCATGTTGGACAGAACAGGATATCCATTATGATCAAAGATAATTCAAACATGTGCCATGTGGATCGTCAGTCCGCTGACTGTTTGACTAGGGTTTCGACTGGGTTACTTAACACGAATCGTATCATAGATCTCCCGTTCCAGTCGAAGGACATCATTGTGATTATGGCGTTTCCACGTACAGTTCGTGTTACACATATCACGCCATTGTTTAATTCTACACCCATCCAGTGTGTTAGAGTGTATAGACAGTTACATTTAGTTTGGGATTGACTGACCATATCCACCACTTCCTGTTGTACCGGTCACTTTCCGAGGATACCACCCAAGTAAAAAACAATCATGATACATGTAGCTCCATTCCGGTATCCAAGGACACAAGCGGACTTAGAGTGTTTCCGTAAGTATGACTATTTTGAAACATGATAGAATGATATTACCTTAAGCTTTACTGTGATTGTACGTATGGGACAAACCAAGGTAGTTTTATGTTAATGTGTTTATAGCTTATACTTAGGGAAGTAACTCTCTTAGCGATAAATTAACAATCATACATGTACACATTTAAGTAGTTTAGCTACATACACATACACACCTTATATCCATCAAAAACAACAGAATACCGAAATATGAACAAAACCGCAATTCAATAACTCTTTGGCAAAATATAAAAATGCGAGTGTCTGTCCAACCTTGCATACGATGATTGTAAGATTGATAAAACTCCGATGGCATCCATATCAAAGATGGATTAATATTGTTAATATCAATGTGTAGCGTTATTTTCAGTAATTGATTAGCATTGATAATTTTAGAAAGTATACGATACGGCATTCAATAAGTATGTGGGTTCAACGAATTGTTGGTTAATCAATCAAACAGACTAATAAAGCAGACATTATGATCGTAAGTACCATATCACAAATACATGTCTAAAGTCTTTAAACATCAGTACTTGTATGTCACGTGCTCGACCAGAAACCATATTGCATGTATGAGTGTGACTTCAACATCAAGAACAATACGCACACGTACGATTCCATACCATAGCTAGGGTTATATAGTTTTAAGACGTGTACAAACTTTTTTTTCTATTTGTACATGTTTAGCCATCTAGTCAAGTATAATTTTTTGTGCGATTTATCTCCCTTCTTATAGCTCTGATGGTCTTTTAGTCACGAACGATGATAGCACTGGTGACACCGAGTGCGTATTTCCTCTATACTTAATTAATTCGTCCTATGCATAAAATCATGAAACTATATTTTAGGTTAGCCGGCTTGCTTATAAGGATTTAAGCCCTCCATTCAGATATATCGGCCACTAGTTCAGAAATGTATTCAAAGTTGTGTATACGAGAAACCGCACAATTACGCTTTGTAAAATGTAATAGAAAAATCTACACATTTATAAGTTCTGTAAAATTGCATTTTATTTTGAAAGGGAAATCACAGACTAGACGCTAAGATATGAAATGAAGAATACAAATCAAGTTTTGTAGATAAATTAGTGATAATATAGTACCACTTGTATTACTGTAATTCCATATATATTTGCAGCAAAAGAAATATTATATGAAAAAAAACTACCAACAAGTAAAATGCGTGTGTATAAATATTTTTGTTTTCGAAAACATCATATCCAATTACACAAAAATTAAAGACGTACCGATACATCACACTGTAAAGTTGTTGGGTCGTCTGGACCCGATTTCGAAATAATGTAACAATTTATCTTATATTAACGAATATCCGAGACTTGGTCATATTAACGCGTCTCAACAGTACTAGTCATATAGTCAGGGAATGTGTGTATATCTGACGGAAGGGAATATACAAAATGTACATACTTGATGGCATAAAATATGCTAAAAATTTCAAATATGCATGCAGATAAACACTATTTAGACATATAATTCATAAAAATGTTAAAGACGAATAAGTAAAAATCCAGCAGTTGGTCAATAAGAGGTTTATGAGCAGAGGAAAAGAAATTCCTACTGTTGTTGGAATGATAAACAACAACCAATATAACGAGAAGACCAAACAATGGTAGCAATGATAGACAATTCCAATCAACTGAATCCCTGTACGTAGATTTATTACGTTTTTACTAGTGAGCTATCAGGATCTTATATCTTTACTGCAGTTAACAATTGCACTACAGTGAAGATGTATGAAATATTATATATATTTGATGAAATTGTATCTTCACATGTGTAGATATCACTTTAAGTATTGTCCAAAACAGTACTTTCTATTCACTGCGCAGATTTTCAGTTTCAAGTTTAGACGAAACGACGGCAAAATAAGAGGTTGTTTTATTACATGCATTATGGTATTTACAGAAATACACTATTTCTGTTTGGAAATCCTAACAGATAAAAGCAGCAAACGGCAGAATAGGAGATGAAATAGCATACCATACTCGTGAAATAGCTTTGATATCCATCGAGAAGCCATTAACGTCCTCCATCAGTGTGAAACGTTCCTGTAATGGAGATCACCGTTATCGGTACATAACATAGGAGTCAGTACTGCGGCTGTTATTAGATAAGTAGACCGGCATTATCTAACCCAAAACTACAATGTATTGGTCAGCAAACGGCAGAATAGGAGATGAAATAGCATACCATACTCGTGAAATAGCTTTGATATCCATCGAGAAGCCATTAACGTCCTCCATCAATGTGAAACGTTCCTGTAATGGAGATCACCGTTATCGGTACATAACATAGGAGTCAGTACTGCGGCTGTTATTAGATTAGTAGACCGGCATTATCTAACCCAAAACTACAATGTATTGGTCTTCAATACTAACTGATCTTAATGGACTTTCTATTCAGCAAAGTAAATCAAAAGCAGCTAACCAATGCGATGTTCATTGATTGTAAATGTCTTTGTACATCAAATCCGGAACTAAAATATGTAAGTCCTCGACTAAACTAACTTTTCTTTCAGCAATGTCAGTCACAAGTAGCTAATGCCTTGGTAACCAAACCCGGAACTACAATGCATTGGTAAAACAAAGGATAATAAAAACGTACCGTGAACCACATACATAACGGAGATTATAAATCTAGCTTTAAAAGGATTTCTCTCGTGTTTGCTTTGCAGATGTTTCCTGCAATATATTTGATGTTTGCTAAATACGTATTTTAAGATCGAATATGTTTGTCAATACGATGTGGATTTTCTCCGTGTGAGTCGATGCTTTAAGTCGGGCTGCGCAAGGTTGTTGAACTGTAGGGTTAATCGGATCCGAATCTGTAAACTAATACCTTCGACTGTGTCGCTGTCCTCGGAACTATTAACATTGTTTCTAGGAATCATAAATATCATATGACATTAAGTGAACATAAAAAATCTTTTCTGACATCACAAGCTAGACGAACACATTTCGATGATGATGATGATGATGATGATGATGAGGGTGTCGTTTGCCCTGGTAATTAAGAACACAATGTACCAGTGTATCCAATGCTAATACTACTGGAAGATGTCTATGATATCCATCCTTCGATTGCCTTCACTCAATATCACAGATTAGCTGTCATTCTATGTAATCGATCATTCAAAGCCACTCCTCAGTTACAACTTGGAATAAGTAAATGGTTTATGTTTTCTTAACGGATGACAAATCTGTTAAAGGAGCTGTTTGCGATGAGATGTTTACATACGGTTTCAGCGCTTTTTGTCTAAATATCATTCCACTGCTCCAGGAACCTTGTGTTATGTGATACCTATTTATACAATATGCGGGTGGGCAAGGTTACAGAGACGTCCGTTTAATATCACAATCTGTTTCTGTAGAAACCACTACATCCTTCGTCCAATCTGAACTCTCCATCGGAACTGGCGACAGATTGGGCCTGGCAGCTATTATATATATTGATAACTCGCGCAGGAACTCATTCCAATTCACTTTCCTGAAAAAGAAAACAGGTTTTAGTATCTTTATGCCAGTTGTTTTTCCAAATCATTTTACTGTGCATTTGATTACAATTCATACACAAAAAATAGAAGAATATCAGATTGTTTCTTGGAATGCTTTGTGTCATTTATAGAGGGTTGACTTTGAAAAATGAAACTAATAAATTTAACCTTTTTAATTAAAAAACGCACGTTGATTGTACCATCGCATTAAATGCAAACAGTGGTTATTATAACGTGCGCAAAGTGATACATAATCCATATAAATAAATATCCTATATCTATACCTTCAGCATGACCATGTTAATAAAACCAATTTACATATTTGAATATATACCCCCGCCACACAAACAAATGGGGAACAAGAAACAATAAATATACTACACAAACAACATCAGTGGTATTTTACACCATGTCTATAGTATAGGTTATTATCCGTTTGTTGCTTCGATTATTAAATAAATAAAAAAAAAAAAATCTTCAATCAAAATTGCATAGGGTCAGAAAAACAAATTCTATCAGATTTAATATTTTTGGAGTTTATATCAGATTTTGAGCCTTAATCACTACCAAAGCTACATAACTAGTAACCTCTGCAGTTTCTACTATCTTAATTCTATCATACAGTAGTTTATGTATATATCTCTACAATATCTTCATCACTAACAATTACTCCTGTATTGACACTTACAATTCTACAGAACTAATCCCTTCCATCTATGTTGTAATAACACTTACAGTTAATACAGACCTAACCCTAGGATATCTCCTGTACTAACACTTACAATTCTACATAACTAACCCTACCATCTCTGCTGTAATACCACTTACAATTCTACAGAACTAACCCAACCATCTCTGCTGTATTAACACTTACAATTCTACAGAACTAGACTTACCATCTCTGCTGTATTAACACTAACAGTTAATACAGAACTAACCCTACCATCTCTGCTGTAATAACACTTACAGTTAATACAGACCTAACACTAGGATATCTCCTGTATTAACACTTACAATTCTACAGAAATAACCCTACCATCTCTCCTGTATTAACACTTACAATTCTACAGAACTAGACTTACCATCTCTGCTGTATTAACACTTACAATCCTACAGAACTAACCCTACCATCTCTGCTGTATTAACACTTACAATTCTACAGATCTTATCTTACCATCTCTGCTGTATTAACACTTACAATTTTACAGAACTAATCCTACCATCTCTGCTGTATTAACACTTACAATTTTACAGAACTAGACTTACCATCTCTGTTGTATTAACACCTACAGTAATATGTAACTTGTTATTTCTACTATTTCAAATCAGTGCTGCATAATTAGATACCTCTTATATATCTGTATTATTGATACTAAAAGTAATGAAGAACACATCCCTTACATCTACACAGCTTTTTATTTCTAGTGTTTACGTGATCATATTACAAATCAGTGCTACAGAACGTGAAACCTGTACACTGATACTAATACTACTAGAATTTAATACTCTCTACCATCTCTACTGTCTCAACACTAACATAACTTGTAGTATATAGTAGCACCTACTAGCCCTGTTGGATTTTCTCTACCACAACTTCGTCACTATAGTGCTACAAAACAAATAATCCTCTGATAGCTGATATCTGTTGTATGAACACTTACAGAACTAATAGTGTGTATGTTTTACATGTATGATATCTACTATCTTTGCTGTATCTACTTTACTACGTGTGCGTCACTATTAAATATTACTAACAATGCTACATGTTCAAAACCGATAATCTTAGAATATCTACAATATCTGCTGTATTTACTCAAACAGACATAGGAATATATTATACAGCATGTATGGTAATGAGGGATATAGCCAGTTTCTGGTTCCCCGCAACCAGGGCTATTTCCAGAGACAAAGTCAAGGGAAATAGGCCTGAGCAAGGGGAACCAGAAACTTGCTATAACCACACTTAAACTGTTTTATTATATCGATACAGAAGCATCAATCTGACAATATATAATAAAAACATAATGAACAGTAAAACATAATTTTGATTTTAACAGCATCAAAATAAACAAATTGCAGACTATAGTACAACAATATCACTTGGGGTCGCTGTCTAAATTTGGAGCCACGCTATCCTCGTTGCTGATAGGTCGATAACTCGATCAAGCCACGCCCATCCCTATTGTTGGTATTTCAAGGATATAGCCAATTCTATGAAATTACTTTAAAATGGTGTAAAATAAGTAGAGGTATAACATTTTTTATAACATCTACTGTCTTGCTGTATTCCCTCTACCATATCTTAACATACTAATACTAATCGTGCTACAAAACCAGTAATCCTATAATATCTACAAAAACACTAACAGAACTAGCAATAAATGTAAATATAATCTCTACCATCTCTGCTGTATTAACGCTAGCAGTGCTACATCATTACTTATCTCTACCATTTCTGTTGTATTAACGCTAGCAGTGCTACATAATTAGTTATCTCTACCATCTCTGCTGTATTTACACTAACAATGCTACATAATTAGTTATCTCTAACATCTCCGCTGTATTTACACTAACAGTGCTACATTAATAGTTATCTCTACCATCTCTGCTGTATTTACACTAACAATGCTACATAGTTAGTTATCTTTACCATCTCTGCTGTATTTACACTAACAGTGCTACATTATTAGTTATCTCTACCATCTCTGCTGTATTTACACTAACAATGCTACATAATTAGTTATCTCTAACATCTCCGCTGTATTTACACTAACAATGCTACATAATTAGTTATCTCAACCATCTCTGCGGTATTAACACTAACAGTGCTACAGAATTACTTATCTCTACCATTTATATTGTATTAACGTTAGCAGTGCTACAGAATGAGTATCTCTACCATCTCTGCTGTATTTACACTAACAATGCTACATAATTAGCTATCTCTACCTTCTCTGCTGTATTAACACTAGCAATGCTACAGAATGAGTTATCTCTACCAACTCTGCTGTTTTAGCACTAACAGTGCTACATGATAAGCCATCTCGACCATCTCTGCATCACTAGTACTAATAACGCTACAGTAATAGTTCTATTTCAGTATCTCAGGATTATTTGTCTGCAAAAATCAATGACGGGTAATTACACGAGTGGGAATATGCTTAAGCAGAATGTCGGTGAAACACACGTTTGCTTCAATCCTAGTTCGATCGCTCAATTATCTCTGAATTCTGTTTCGGAACGTATTTCTGTGTATAACAGGTTTAGAGTACAGCACCGTTACTCGAGTTTTGCTAAGAAAACCAAACAAAGCGGAGCCCTGTTAACAAACATAGAAGTCGAACGAATATATCCGTCCAAAACCCCGTTGTCAATGTGATAACCTGGCATCTGAACTAACCTTCTAACAAATAATACGCCGAGAGTCTGGTACATAGAACTGTCCTTTCTTTCTGTGTTACATATCACACATCCCATATTCATTTTAAATAACCCATACACACCAGTCTCTATCAGTTTTAACAATACAGTCGTAATACATTGATCATCGTTTACTTCTTTATTGTAAAGTGTTGATTAATAATTAATTCATAATCATAACCATGCATGATTTTCTTAAAATCAGTATACGTACCTGTCACTGTCCACACTTGTATCCATGGTGAATGTTAGCATCTCAGCCACAATGTACCATAATTCTCCTTCCTTGTTTGAAGACATAATCGTGAAGCTGAAATATTTCAAACATGAAACTGACTGTAAAATATGCATGATATGTGAATCTCACTGTAAGAAATGTATGGAATGTGAAAATTACTCTTTTAAAAAAAAATGTATGGAATGTGAAAATGACTCTTTTAAAAAAAAAGTATGGAATGTGAAACTGACTGTAAGAAATGTATGGCATGTGAATTATCTACTGGTTCAAAATAGTGTTAGTAATTCAATTCGAAACTACAAGATTTGACCCTAATAAAACCATTGATGTAGCTAGTACATTTATATTACATTATACGCACCTAATGCATGTGTATTGAAATATCTGTTACATACTTGTATTACAATATACATACCTAATACATATGTAAGTTACAAAATACGTATCTAATGACTACGTATTATAATATATGTCACCTATACGTATCACAATAAACGTACATTTTAGCTAAATCCTGTATATTTTAAAAACAACATACCTAATACAATATGTATTATGAATGCGCACATGAATATAGCTGATAAATACGCGTTTTACAGTGTAGGTGACTTATACGTTTGTATCAAAGTATACGTAAACTCTATCACATATATGTGTGTATTACAATATACGTAAATTATCAATAAACACGGTACAAAGGTGTTATTTATGAGTATAGTCATACTGAAATTCTAGTTATGTGTGTCATGTGTATTGCAACCAGACAAAAAGGGGAAAACAAGATTGATATATTTAGAGCTATAGGTATAACAGGAGACAAAAAGAGATATTTAAAGTGTATTTAATGTAGTAAATAAATAGGTAACAAACTAACATACAGGTTGACATAAATAAGCTAATAAGCTTGATTAACCTATATGGGTGACAATTGGGAAGTAAATCTGGATTTTTCCGTAAGTAGCCTAATATTCCTTAAACATTTATATAAATGTATGATATTAACTGAAAATTCCACAATTCAAAGAAACACATTAATCCATATACATGAAATTGATATCCCAAACTGTCGAGCTACAATTTACCTGTATTATTGATTTTTAAATACATTAGGTGTACCAGGGGATGAGGGAACCTACTGTATTTATACCCTATCAATGAATAATATATCATGTGTAATTTTATCTGTACGAGCAATTATTGGACTGCTCTTCAATGCTAATCTTTAAATCGGATACTCTGAAATATTCACCATGCAAGCTGCTAAGTTGATCGGATCTTGAGTAAGAAGGTTATCGGTTAACAATGAAGCGTAGTAGGAACACTAACCCGTTAAGCGTGTCATCGTTCTCCAGGAACAGCGTGTACCAGGAGGCCAGCGCTTTCTTTGCGTCATATTCCCTTATTTCGCCACTGTCCGTCTCATCAAAATTATGAAAAAGGCGATAGGCAAGTTCTATCTCCCTTGGGTAGAGCAATCGGGTGATTGCATTCTGTTGAAAAACAAACAGTATACATTTGTAGAGTTTTAGTGTCCGATTTCCTGTTATATTACCAAATGGCTCGTCTGTTATATTACACTATGGTTCGCCTGTTATAATAAACAATGGATCGCCTGTTGTATTACCATATGGTTCGACTGTTATAGTTCGACCTTTATTTAGTGTAATATTAATGTCCGTCCTCAAATGATAACAAGTGAAAACATCTCCATTAACTTGTAACTATAGCACTTCTCTCCATATTCAGGAGACAGTGTACCATTGTTAACATATATATCAGACGCCGTATGATATTGTATCGTGTATTACAGTTCGCCTTAAACTACAACACTTGAGTTGATAACAAGCATTGAGAAACATCTTATCGCGATGTTGTATATCCCTTCGCAAGTTTATAATCTGAAATTTAGCTTTCGATGTACAAACCTTGCCCCGTCTTAGAAGGATTTTTATTGATTCATAATTAAGGAATTCCCACCACGTGACCGATCCCGAATTTTCTTTGTCAAGTCTATGGAACTGTGCCATTTCGTCTTGCATCTCGGCTTTGGGCAAGGAGACACCATGCCCGTCTCTGAATGCACGCTTACGGTAGGTCAAATACTCCTCCAATGATATACTGGAATCTGCAAATGGTTCACAAAGCCTTCTGATTAAACAAATTTCAGAATGTATATCTTTTTAATTTGAGATGGGGTAAATCGGAGAAAGCACAGAAACAAAATAAGTTGAATAAATCAGAAACATGTAACAATACAATTAAGATGCACTTCCCATGATTTTTCTTACTCACAGATTTAATTCAGATATTGCAAACAGACCCAATTTCCCTTGTAAACAACAAAATAATGTATGCATCACTTAAGACGTCCTGTTCGTGTTATATCTTCTAATTGCATGATTGTTTTATATTTGTATACAGATAGCAAACGAGGTTCGATATGTACGATATCATCCTTAAATACGATATTCAGCAAATGGGCTTCAATAAGTTTTATGAATAAAACGAGTCTGAAAAATTGTTATTGCATGCATAAACTAAATGTCCGAATAAAAATTGAAAAAAATCCCGAAGAAAACGTATATTATGCAGCAATTGTATTATTCATTTTTCTGATTTGTTTATTAACAATAAGATATGCCTCTACATGTTCAAGATTTAATGAGCGCGGACTGATAAAAGATAGTATGTGAGCACTGGTACAATACAGTACAGAACAGCTTTGTTTCAACGAGGTGGACGATATTTTCTCTTCATACTAACCTTGTGTTAAATCATACTTCTCAAACGAGTCCAGCAACGCAAATAGTTCCTCTTCTGTTAGCATGTTGCTGCAGTCGTCCTGTCCGTAAAACAAATACATACAGTGTACAAAGAAGACATTACTATGGGGGTTTGTTCAATGATCTTTGTTGTGATATGAGCGATGACCTTGAAACATTTCATACCTATTCAATAGAATCTTTTATTTACAAACAAGGGGTAGATAGTTTGTTGTTAAGAAAACCTAAAATTAATCATATTTAAACGATATAATTCGTTCTCATTTCAAATTCTTCCAAGGTAAACAGCTTGTACAATCAGTCGTTTCCCAAGTACATGTTTTGGTGAACGCGTCGTCTGTAGTGCCTATAGCATCTATATTGTAATGGGGGTTCCTAGATTCTACGTTTTGAAACAGTCTTGGAACATAACTATCAGACAGAGGTAGCGGGATGGCTTCTGGGAATCCGCATTGTCTTATCGTATAAGTTGGCACTGTGCCAAACACAGACATCTGCAGAAACGTCACCACGGTTGTCACGGCCGTTAACATTAGAACAAGCTGATAGCATTGCAGCAACCTTCAGACCGAAACTAGCAAGGATACCAGCATTTTACGGGAGCAAACCTTTAGCTGGAAAGTAATACACTTCAAAAGGTCGTTTACAAATAAAATGGCAGTGAAACGCAGCGGTGAGGTACCGGCAGACGTAAATCTAGAGAACGAGCCGTAGTTGTTTTATCGTTATAAATAGAATCGATATTCGCATTAACGTGTATTTTGTGAGAGGTGTAAGAAAGGATCCAACTTAGTTTTCATATTATAATCGATGTCGGGTGAAATACAGGTTTGTTATGAAAGTGTTGACATTTGCGGTAAAAATACATAGCTACAGACAGGTGTGCTGGAAAGGACTTCAGATTTCAATTTGATTTTATATCCAAGAACAATATCATCACCTTTGTCAAACATATGGTACCCGGTATGTTATCGACAGCTACATAGATATGTGTTTACTGCAATCGCATGTAAAACAAACGTTATTCATCAAAGGTGACTGTCCCATAATTTGACATTTCTACACTGATACACTTTAGATCAGCCATTTACTTTCTTGGTATTCCTTCCGTGTGTTCGAATAGAAAATACAGATTATTTGTTTTAATATGTGCAAGGATGCATACATTGTCATCACACGTGTAAGTTTCTATATATAGACCATCACCAAACATGTTGGGATATCTAACTATAGATTATCCCTAAGCTTGCAGGGACATCCCAATATAGATTATTTACTAATCTTGCAACTATAACATTATTATCATCAAACTATGCAGCAGTGATATTGGCTAAATAGACCCTTAAATGGATTCATTAAACTACGAAATCTTTTGTAAGGCACAAGCAAAATAATAAAAGACATCACTTGATATCATATATTGACAAATAATGTAATATTCTCGTGCATGATCAATAGAAAAGTCAATAAATATTGATATATTGCACATCCGGGACATTCGTTTGCTCTGACAATTACACAAACAGGGTGTATTTATATATATATAATACAAGACAAAACATCATAACGCGGTTTCTGAAAGTTGTGTTGTATACAAGGAGTTACAACCAGTCAAGCCATATTAGGTTGATCGATCGAAGTACTTTTTTTCTGCTACAGAGATAAATCTACACCATGTTTGATGATATATCAAAAACGTTTGAAATAGAAATATTTCAAACAAAATTTGGCCAATGGTAAGACGGTGTAATTGTTTTAAGTTTATAAACTGGTAGCTTTAAGGAGTGTAACACGCTGAAGAATTTCAAAATCCAATAGACTTTACTTGATTGACTTGTACACAGATTTATCAGATCCGATCATGGTTTGTCCAGTCCCACAGGAAGGACTTCAATACAGTATTTGTATGTAAAGCCTACATGTTCGGCATGTGCAAAGCAATTACAAGTAATATAACACTGTTACTCTAAGTGAGGAAGGGAAAATCACTCGCTTGAAATTTATAATAAACAGTTACAAGATATATTATTATTTTCGTCGATATTTGTATTAAAGTTCCAAAACCTTTCATAAAAGATACTTTTCAGTCAGTTATTTTTATCAATATTTACATGAGAGAGTTTTACAACATAAAACAGAAGAGAACAATTCGTGCTGGTTCGCGCCTTGTTCGCTTTACGATATACATGTAAGGGATGAACGTTGTTTGGAGCCCTGGTTGATTATTTGTCTCAATAAAAGGCCGTCAGCGTGACAGTCTAGTATTCCTGGATAGGATTCAGACAGACGGATTTTTTCAATGCAATAGACACGGGAATAGAAGTTTATCAATATCGGATAAAATACAAATACAATAGACACCGTGTCTGTGTCAAATAAAGCATACACAACATAGGAACGTAATGGGCTTTTGTGTGGTGACTGATGAAGAAGCATTCTAGGCAGACAGGACACAGATTATGTCTTGGTCGATATCCATCTACCATTGTACAGGGAGGCCTAGTCTGGCACCGAAATCGCCCGACCGTACACGGCAAGGAACGTGTCAATATTAAAGATTGTTTTCCCCTTCCGTCACTACCAGCCTAAGAAGTACCAACGCTGACTAACGAGATTGATCGGCTTGTTAGTATATTGACTTTGCGTCTGTATATGTTAAAAGACATTGATTATACGTAGATAGTGTACATGTACTATCTTCTAGTGAAAATGGTGTTTTTAAGTATCATGATACTAATCGTACATACTGTTATCACATTTCAACAATAACGAATATGTTTTTTTCCTGTCAAAAACCTTCCATGGAAATGTGTCAGGTACCTTGGCTAAACGTTATCAATAGTCCAACGAAATTAAAACAAAAATGAAAATTGAAAGTACAGTGTTGTCGTAAATGTTTCTTTACTTTGCTAGACTTTATACTTATTGTATGTCCTATCATATAATATAATTATGATATTCAAATTTAACTATAAATTTCTATTATTAATCAGACGACATTGACGTATGAAGGTAATACAATATATACACAAGAAATATAAAACTTTATCTATTTTGTCTTGTTGAACAAATCAAAACATGTATATGAATACATAAATTTCTAATAACATTTATGAATAATTATTTGGTGTGTGCATTTCTGTAAAATAAATGTTTCTCGGCAGATCCGGAATTACAATGCTTCCATATGACATTATTCAGTTAATTAAGGTTTCATTATTAAATTCTCGAAGCATGAACAGACATTTTTCTTTATTGCTCATTATTCATATATTAAATTATCCTGTTAAAAAAACAATTATGTAATAATAACTAAACGGGGATATTTTGATTGCATGACATCTTTTAAACGCATAGATCAGGAACGCTAAAGGCTGTTTCAGACGTCGCCGTCTCGGAATTCGTTTTACGTAATTTCAATTGTACTTAATATGAAGTTATTCTATTATTTTACTTTATTTGATAACTAATTCATGTAAAACTATAATCATTGTTGTAACTAGTATGCAATAAATGGTTAGCACCTTGCATAGTCTCAAACAAACCAGCCTTAATTTAGGCGCTTTGAACATTGTTTGAATAGGCAAAAACACTACCAACTGCGCCTGACAGCTCCACTGTCTTTTTTTTTTTTTTTTTTAGATGTAACCAATATCAAACATATAACACCTAAACATGAGGTTTTCCGTTTACAGTTTCAAATTGCTAGGATTCAACGCTGCTGATTTATTTTCTTATAACTAATTAGGTTAGGTTTACCTTAAACACAGACAGCAGTGTTGCCATACGGCGTGAAAGGTGTGTTTGTTTCAAAATAGTTCCGGTTGCATTGTGTAAATATACTTGAATAAACAGTAATGCAGATGCATAAAGCTTATCATAAAAAACAATAGGTTCCTTTTAACAATGTGGAAAAAAACAGTTGTCATTTGCATGTCTTGAAAAATAGCTTTGTTGAATGGAATTTTGTTATTTGTCATATTCTTGTCTGCTGCAATTTGTAATTCTCTTTGTAGTTTGTTTTTCTACTTGATATTTTTCCTTGATACGGAGATACCATTGTTTAGTTTTACATCCCGATAGTTGTGTGTGCGTGTGTGGGTGAAATTTGTGAGCGTTGTATTTCCGGACGGAAACAGGAAAGACTATGCTGGCAGATCGATATCACGACTTTTTAACTTTTTTACTGGTATGTTTTATAGAAAGACTGTCAATACAGCTTTTCCTGTAATACAATAAGGTCGTGTGAAGGTCACGTCTATTTATAGCTCGACGACGCAATATGGTACTGTACGTACGATGAACAGTTATGCTGTATAATGTAATATACTAGTATTGATTGTCTTTGTGGCAAAACAGTAGCATGTGTTTGAAAGAACTAAGCAAGACAAGTACATTCTTCATATCACAAATTACACGACTGATTATATTTGTATTAGATACATTTTAGAAAAGATTATTTTAAACGTGTACAATTGAATTTTACAGTATTAGAGCATATGTGCCAATTTAATGTATGTACCAATTAAATGAAAAATAAACGATATTATCAATGCAATTCTCACACATTCGTGGCAGCTCCAGCCCTTTGGCTTCAGGGCCCTCTTGAGAAGGAGACAGGAAGCTGGGTCCTTGCAATACCCAAGCTTGTGGAGACAGCCCTCGTGGTAAACCTTGCAGCATATTCTGCATGGATAAGTCTCTCTGCCGGTGTATACACTGCAAATATGGCACAATTCTTCTGGTCGAACCTACAAAATAATGAAGTTATGATAATGCAATTAACTATATTATAAGAATTATACAGTTTTCATGGGTCGAAATATATATTTAAGCTGTCTTAAAATACCACACCCATACAAGTAACCATTAAACGCTTTTAGTATACAAACATCCCAGCTTGTTTATCATTGGTACCGTTAAGTGTTGATTTCAAGGAAGATGGTGTTGGTGATATTGTTTGCCTGAAAGATTTAAATCGATACCATACACAGTTGATCAGTGTATCGCATGGACCTGTGTGAAATTTGCTGTTTTGAAAAACGTGTACCTATATTATTTAAGGAATGATTTTTATTTTTTCAACATTTATGAGGTCATAACAACAATGGGTTTATGGACATATTGAATGAATCGCGTTAGCGATTCATGTAAAATATGTCCAAAAACCCATTGTTGTTATGACCTCATAAATGTTCAAACAAATAAATATCATTCCTTATATTTACATTGACGAATCCTTTCAGTGGATCGATATAACAACGAATAAAACAAATAAACAGGGTTTGTTCCTGCTTATACACGGGTGCAACGCAGTGGCGAGAACAGTGTTTTTTTCTCGGGGAAATGTTACATTATCGTGAGAGATCTTAGCAACCGTCAACAACAATAACACAACAAAATGTAGTTCCATATTCAATGTTTATTTGTAGCACAGGACACGTGAATACGTGGATATTTCACAAAGCACAGTTCAATAATATTTTAAGATGTAAGAATTAAGCATCTAGGTCGGTCGTTCCGAGTGAGTAGTTTTTGTAGTGTATTACTACGCAGTGTGATCAGGTTACTATCAGTTCCCACGTGCTGAGATCCTATGAACACCTGTGTTATGCATTTATGAATGTAATTTTTGTCAATGGGTCTAAGCATACAGAATGTAAATATATATATATGTATGTACATTTCCAAATAGCACAGTTGTCGCATCCGCCAATATGCGCGTGCAATTCAACAGCCTCATTATACATACACCGACATGCCATTAAATATTAATGGTTATTTGCACAAATATGATTCTTTTGATAAAAAAATCATAAACTCAGATGTAAAACAAATGATTTATATGGACGCCATTTAAAAGTACAGAGATAATGAGACGTAGTCTTCAAGAAGGATTAGCGTCCTCAGCTTCGCTGGTGAAAGCTGCCATGTAAATCTAGGTTAAATGCAGATAATGTCAGTCAGGGTCTAAAAGAACCATTAAATATCCTCAACTTGCATATAGTCCGTGATTGTTGAATAGTTCCCTAATGATACACGAGACGAAAAATCTGTCCATATTGACCAACAACTTGCCCCGAATCTTCTGTTGTAACATGTGACACGCTAACACTCTAGGATGTGGAAATAGATGTTACAGTCTAATAAAAACGAAACGAATGCATTCCTTCAGATTGGTATAAGGCAAATTGTGCATTGCGCTCAGTCAAACTATCTCATCGAAAAACCATTTTTGAGGAAAGGTTGCTCGAGATCTTTTGAGTTCTTCAAAACCAACATCACTTCCACTTTTGGAGCAATTAGTGCCATGATGCGACTGCAACACTGATTTAATTATACTAAGAAGATTAGAAAGAGGTTTGGATAACTGCTCAGTTGAGCAATTAGCAGAAACAACGAGAAAATGTCGTGTATACGGACTCTTGTGAATTTCGGAATAGAATATTACACTTAAAAGGCCCGAACCATTATCATAAACTGATATCCCGGAAAACGTAACACAGAAGCTTCACATGTTACATCAAAACAAATAGCAAGTCCTTTCAATCAAACCCAGTGATGAAATAAGTATTTATTTCACATAAGGAGCAGGGGGGGGGGGGGGGAATACTCTATGGAACATTACGGATTAAAAAGACCTTATTGTAACTGTTGATTTCATGCTTTATGCTTATATACAACAAGACGTTAACAAAACCCAAGATATAACTGGACGTAATAGAAGATCATTTGTTTACTTGAACGTGGAAAAAAATGTTTAAATTCGTATTTAAAGCCTCAGTTAGGTCACATCGGAAATATGCCACCAGTAGCAATATGCCGACAGTGTGTAGAACCCAAGTGAAAAAAATATCGATTCTTTTTTCACATATTCAAAGAAGAGTGCTACGAAACTTGTACCCGATTTTAAAAATCAAACATACATAGAGCGCCTACAAAGATGTTCCTTTTCAGCATTGAAACATCACAGGGAGAGAGGAGATATAAATAAAAACATCATGAACAAAATATGTGCTGGTATAGTAAATGTAAATATCTTTACGCTCGATGCCACAAACGAGACAAATGGTTATCTCTCGGTAATCTAAAAAGATTGCTGTTACTGAAACACTCTAAAACACTTTTTCTGTTTTAGAATAGTAGACTTCGGAATCGATTATCCAAACATGTGATCGGTACACCTTCAGTTAAACGATTTTGAAATAGTTTAAAGTGAGCATTTGAAACGTCCTGACAATATTCATGAACTTCAAATAGCATGTAATAAAACAGTGATGAAAAACTGTATTACGACTAAATAATTTGCGAAAAAAATAAAAACTGGCATATAATGTGCGTGTATTGTATCGTTTTCATGTCGAATTTATTGTGTCAATATAGATATAAAGACTTCAAGATACCTTACATCAGTTTTCTTAAAAATCTTTAAAAAAAAGCAGCATGTTTTACTTGAACGTTGTCTTTTAAAACAATTTCAAGCATGAATGTTATTGTGTTTGCAGACAAGGATCAAGTAATGCAGTGCTTTGTCAGTCACAACTACAAACTAATCAAGCAGATTGATGAGTTGGGATTGGATATCGGGGCCATGATGTAGTGTAAATTTATAATTTCGTTGGTAGATTTTAAACATAAACATCTGTGTGTGTATAACACGGATTTGAATTTTCTTGAAAATATTATTAGATCATGCCGTCGTCAATATGTTTAAACAATATTTTCCTCATCTTTGTATACATCCCATCATGATAAATTCATAGCCGTTTGTTTTGACGTAAATAAAAGAGGGTTCGCTTCTTCGGTTACAGTCGCTTATCATGTGATTAATTCAAAACTATTCTGACGCCTTGATTCCTCCTATTAGGAGTTGGATTGCATCACTTATTCAGTCTGTTGTTTATAGATTAGTTTCTTGCCAAATGGTGAAATCGGTAGACTATTGTAGTAAAACTTTGTATAGCAGCCATGCTATGTCACCAATACAATAGTATAGATATCCGACGGTGGACGAGTAAAACTGTGTGAAGTAGCCATACTATGTCATCATTACAATGGTAAAGATCTCCGACGGTAGACGAGTAAAACTGTGTAAAGTAGCCATGCTTTGTCACCAATACAATGGTGAAGATCGGTAGACGAGTAAAACTGTGTTAAGTAGCCATACTATGTCATCATTACAATGGTAAAGATCTTCGACGGTAGACGAGTAAAACTGTGTGAAGTAGCCATACTATGTCACCAATACAAAGGTAAAAATTTCCGACGGTAGATGAGTAAAACTGTGTGAAGTAGCCATACTATATACGTCATAATTACAATGGTAAAGATCTCCGACGGTAGACGAGTAAAACTGTGTGAAGTAGCCATGCTATGTCACCAATACAAAGGTAAAGATCTACGACGGTGGACGAGTAAAACTGTGTGAAGTAGCCATGCTATGTCACAAATACAAAGGTAAAAAGCTCCGACGGTAGATTAGTAAAACTGTGTGAAGTAGACATACTATGTGATCATTACAATGGTGAAGATCTCCGACGGTAGACGAGTTAAACTGTGTGAAGTTAACATACTATGTCATCATTACAATGGTCAAGACCTCCGCCGGTACACGAGTTAAACTGTGTGAAGTTGACATATTATGTCATCATTACAATGGTAAAAATCTCCGACGGTGGACGAGTAAAACTGTGTGAAGTAGCCATGCTATGTCACAAATACAAAGGTAAAAAGCTCCGACGGTAGAGTAGTAAAACTGTGTGAAGTAGACATACTTTGTGATCATTACAATGGTGAAGATATCCGACGGTAGACGAGTTAAACTGTGTGAAGTTGACATATTATGTCATCATTACAATGGTGAAGATAGCCGACGATGGACTAGTAAAAATGTGTGAAGTAGCCATACTATGTGATCATTACAATGTTGAAGATCTCCGACGGTAGACGAGTTAAACTGCGTGAAGTTGACATACTATGTCATCATTACAATGGTCAAGACCTCCGCCGGTACACGAGTTAAACTGTGTGAAGTTGACATACTACTAAAGTAGCCATGCTATGTCACCAATACAAAGGTAAAGATCTACGAAGGTGGACGAGTAAAACTGTGTGAAGTAGCCATTCTATGTCACCAAAACAAAGGTAAAGATCTCCGACGGTAGACGAGTTAAACTGTGTTAAGTTGACATACTATGTCATCATTACAATGGTGAAGATCTACGACGGTAGACGTAGACGAGTAAAGCTGTGAAAAGTAGCCATGCTTTGTCACCAATACAATGGTGAAGATCGGTAGACGAGTAAAACTGTGTTAAGTAGCCATACTATGTCACCAATGCAATGGTAAAGATCTCCTACGGTGGACGAGTAAAACAGTGTGCAGTAGCCATACTATGTCACCATTAGGCATTACAATGGTAAAAATCTCCAACGGTGGACGAGTAAAACAGTGTGATGTAGCCATACTATGTCACCATTACAATGCTAAAAATCTCCAACGGTGGACGAGTAAAACAATGTGAAGTAGCCATACTATGTCATTATTTCCAACGGTAGATGAGTAAAACTGTGTGAAGTAGACATACTATGTGTTCATTACAATGGTGAAGATCTCCGACGGTAGACGAGTAAAACTCTGTGAAGTAGCCATACTATGTCATTATTACAATGGAAAAGGTATCCGACGGTAGACGAGCAAAACTGTGTGAAGTAGCCATACTATATACGTCATAATTACAATGGTAAAGAT